AACACAATGCCCTAGAGAATAGCCAATCAGATTCAGCTCATACAGTCGGTGTGTCTTTCTATCGACACACACACACACTCTCAATATACTCTACTTTCTGTCACCTACTGATTATGATGTCCACTTTGATACTGAAACGTTTTCCTATGAAATGTCTCTTAAAATACGCGAATATTTCATCCTCAGGAAAAATAATTCTCATCTTGATTTTACATGTATCCTGAGCAAATTTCAAGCTGCTCAAGATGTAAAATTAAAATTAATAATAATAATAATGGTAGTAATTGTAATGATAATAATGGTAATAATAATGTAATAAATAATTTCAAGCTGTTTTAAGTTTGAAAAAAGCCGTTTTTTGGTAATTAGTGACCCTAGAAGTGAGTTATAAAATGTACATACACCTTCACATACATACACGGGGTATATGCCAATCATTAAAAAGCGGAGAATGAAACGGTAATAAAACGTATGTGTGTTGACTCGTATGCACTGACACAGCCACACACATACACACACACGCGCACGCGTACCCATTTGTTCATGAATAAGAAAAAGGCGAAACGAAGCATTCACCATGGCAGTAGAATGACTTCAGTTTTTGACTGTGCGATTGATTTCACATGCTACGTACTATAATAAAAACTGTCAGTAAATCCCATCAAACTTGAATGTAAGAACTAAAAGTTCAACTAAGAGTTTATTTTTGGCGGCGAATTCATTCTCCGCCTCAGTTATACAATCGCATTTATATATAGTAGTAGGACTAGTGGTGTAAAACTCAGTCAGCTCGTCACTACATTAGTTGAAAGGCATCTGAATACATGCAAAAAATGGTCTAAAACCATACTCTCAGACCCCCCCAACATCCCCTCTATTCCCAACTCTCGCCTTGTATCTCATCAAGTAGAACCAGAAATCAGTATTAAATAATCTATGCTCGTACAACCAAGTACAGGAACTCAACGATAACATATTTAGCCCGTGTTCTAAGTGACAGAGACAATGTTAAGCGCGAAACCTATGACTTGCTTTGTTGTTAATAACATAATTTTAGGCTCTTTTATTTCTCTCTTATTTTTATTCCATAGTGAACACCTTCTTAAACAAACTTAGCTACATAAATTATTAACATTGGCTTACTTTTTTGTACTTTACTGTATTCCTTCTTTTGTGTATCTACTGGTTCCAACTACATTAGCACTATGAGTATTACAAAATTGTCCTGTCTTTAACCATGATGTAATTATTAGTTTTTGTGGTTGTTTTTTATTTTTTTATTTTTTTAATTTTTATTTTTGTGTGTTTTTGCTTTTGCTGTCTTTATATTTATTTATTTTTTTGAAATACTCCTTTTAAACGTTGGATAAAATTAGATGTAAATATTGTAGATATGTGCTGAAAATTCGACACTGTACCACTAGTACTGTTTCTTGAATAAAGCAAATTAATATTATTTTGTATGTGCGTATGTATGTGTGTACATTAGGATTGTCAAACAAAAATAAGAATTAGTTAGGGTTATTGTTTACATCATCAGAATGTTCCAAAAATGTGATGAATAATCAAATTGTAACTATGGAGAGGGGGTTGGTGAAGATTGGTAAGTATTGACAAGGGTTCCGCAATATGAAAGACACCCAGAAAAATAGGCCATTAGTTGGAGGATTTCATCATGAGCTGACATCAGTTAGAGAACCATTGGAAAACCCACCAGGGAGTACTGGACAGCCAACTGTTTCGTCAGCCTAGTTAGGGACTCCTCAGCAGTACGCACCCACAGAGAGGGTTCGAAACCAGCGTCTTCTGGTTATAAGACAAGCTAGCTCATACACCATTAAGCCTCCGGGACCTGATCCAACACCCAGCCAGTCCATGAATTCCAACTTCTGCCAATTCATGAAATAGCGTGACAACTTAGCAATGTCTTCTTCGATGAGTAACTGTCCTCACTTTCGACTTGCTGTACACTACTGGTCATGAATTCTCACTAGAACCCCAGGTAACTACCTACCTGAATAGGGCCAGTTGCTACTTCGGGTTAGAACAATGGCTGTGGGTGATGAAGAGTCCAAATATAGGATGAAACAGCTGGTTGCCAAGTACACCTAGCTGGTTTCCCAACAGTTCTCTAACTGCTGTCGACTCATGATGAAATCCTCCAACCAATCAAACAAAATCCCTACAATTACTTCAACTAGTGTTTAGAATAAAGCTATCAAAGAAGTAATGGCGATACATGAGCGAAAAACACTTTTGTTAGACCCCCTTCCTTCTTTATCTTGATCATAGTAATGTTGATTTATTTTATTTTACCACTTGAATTAATTCTACTTCACTTTATCTTTGCCTTCTTTATTGTTATTATCAGCGTCATCATTTCACCTTTAGACCTTGGTAACACATGACCAACTTAGAAACTCTTGATACTCGTTCACATATTTAATAATCTTTCAGAAGAGTTTTGTAATTCATCCACTTCAAGTCTGCCCCCTTAGAGAAAAATAACATTTTTCAAGTATTGGATTTTGTAGGGATTTTATTTGATGGATTGGAGGATTTCACCATGAGCTGATATCAGTTAGAGAACCTGATTTTCTAATGGTTCGCGTGTGAGGACAAATACTCGCCGAAGACATTGGCTAGGGGTCGCGCTATGTCGTGAATTGGCAGAAGTTAAAATTCATGGGCCATTGGATCGGGTCCCAGTGGCTTAATGGTATACGAGCTCGCCTTGTAACCAGAAGGTCCTGGGTTCGACCCCTGTGTGGGTGCGTACTGATGAAGAGTCCCAAACTAGGACGAAACAGGTGTCCAGTACTCCTAGGTTTTCCAATGGTTCTCTGACTAATGTCAGCTCATGATGAAAATCCTGTAACCAATCAAATCCCTACAAACCAACACTTGAACATTCAAATAAAATCCCTACATAAGCAATACTTGAAAAAACCGATCTGATGCTCACTAACCACTGGCTCTATTCTGGCAGTGATGTGGGGTTCTAGTGGGTGTCGTGACCAGTAAGGTACAGCACGTTGAAGGTGAGGACATTTCCTCATCGAAGAAGATATTGCGAAGTGGTCACGCTTTGTCATAAATTATTAGTAGTTAAAATTCATGGGCTGGCTAGGTATTGATTGGATCAGGTCCCAGGTGGCTTAGTGGTCTACGAGCTATCTCGCCTTGTAACCAGCTGGTGCTGGTTTCGAACCGTGTAGGTGGGTGCGTACTGCTGAGGAGTTCCAAACTAGGACGAAATAGCTGGCTGTCCAGTAATCCCTGATGGGTTTTCCAATGATTCTCTAACTGATGTCAGCTCATAATGAAAAATTGCATTAATTATCTATATATTCTTATCATTGCTGAGCAGTTTTCAGTGCCACTTAATGCCCTTTTCCCTGCAAAGTATAATTACGTCTGTACACCTGGTTGAAGAAATGAAGTCGTTGAGTGGAGAAATATTCCTTCATGCTGAATACAAAACTGTATGTTTCTCTAAAAGGATGCCTTTTAGAACGGACAAGCCTCTTTCTTGTCTATAAAGTCATGATTTATGTGCATATAATGACATGAACATAACCTGATTGGATAACTTTGTGATTCGTTTAATTTTTGGCTTAATTTTTTCGAGGTTTTGTAAATATGATACACCGTGTATTTTGGCTAATAAACGCTGTTTTGTCATCACAGTTGAATCTGACATTTGTCTCCCTTTCAGTGTGTGACATCCTTTACGGGATCAGATAGTTATATTGTTGTGTCGTAGAGGTGCATTCTAGTCAGGCTAGATAAAAAGGCACACAACTCAGTGGCGACTACTTCGCTACTACAGAGTGCCACCGACAATTATACATCTCATCCAACAGTTGTACGACAATGCTGCATAACAAGTAATCCACAACGGCAAACTTATGGAATCTTCGAAATGAATATGAGTAGACAAACTGGCCGCCCACTATCTCCAGTGATTTTCCTAATTACAATAGATTGTATAATGCAACAGCGCATTGAGGAAACAGGCAGAAAATGGATAGAGATGAACTTCGCCGATGATATATTCTGATTTCCCACAAACTGGAAGATATGCGACTGAAAAGCAACAAGTTGGCAGAAGAAGCATCCAGAGAAGATAAGACTTCAGGTGAACATAGAGAATACAGAGGTGATGAAGATTCCTGGCCAACACTACCAACAGCAACAACAGCAGCAGACAACAATCAGCATAAATGGGAGGAATCTGAAAGAAGCAACCTCCTTTATCTACATACCTACCTGCCTGAGAAGCATAGTTTCAACTACAGGCCAATGGAACTGGCGAGGATACCAAACAAGTCGGAAGGCAAGAAGCTTCATTACTCTCAAGTTGTTGATAGCATCAGCATGAAAATAAGATCCGATTTCGATTCATGTGAAGTCAGTGCTACTATACGGATCAGAGACTTGACGTGTCATAAAGAGCACCTCAAACAAACTACAGACCTTCATTAACAGTTGTCTTCGCTCAATACTCAAAATCAGATGGCCAGAAAAGATCAGCAACAGGGATCTTTGGGAGCGAACCAACCCACAGGAACCGATTGTGAAACAAATAGGCAGGAAGAAATGGAGATGGATTGGCCATACTCTGAGGAAACCATCAAGTGACATCACTGGACAAGCCATCGCTCGAGTGGAACCCGAAAGGGAAGCGGTGAGTTGGTCGTCAATGCAAGGGTGACTTGGAGGAGGTCATGTGAAGAGGAGATGAAAACGTGTGGGCAGACATGGAGCCAGGTGAAGACTGTAGCAGAGAACAGAACGCAATGGAGACGCACGGCTGAAGCCCTATGTTCCTCTAGGAATTAAAGGATACAATACTAATAATAATTACATTGTCTTCCTGGACAGCATTTTCAGAGCTGATTTGAATATAAAGTGACCTTTAGAATTCCTTATCACTTTACTAACCGTCACGTTTCTGCTTTTTTTCCATCTCTCCCTCTTTGTCTTTCGCTTTATAGTCAATAGTCACGCTGCCAATTCAACAACTGGCGGACAGCCAGTAGCAACAACAACAACAGTGAAACAGATGAGCGTACCAGCTGGTGATTCAATGAAATCAGACAATTCATCACATGGAAGGACAAATGAATCACAATTTTATACAAATTTTTGGCAACGTTTATTTAGAAGAACAAAAAGTAAGTTGATTAGATATTACTTCTAGAAAGTAGATATTTTCCATCGTTGTCCCCGCCTCCCCTCTGAGGACGCCTAGAATATGATAGTCGTCGTTAGGAGGTGAACCGCCCATCGACTGACAGACATAATTTGTGATTTCAATGTAAATTTCGTCTCACTCAAAACAATACCAGGGGACACTGGACAGCTGTTTTGTCCCCCTAGTTTGGGATCCTTCAGCAGAACATATGCACGAACCCACCTACTATTGGCTACGAGGCCAATCTGATTGACCTTTTAGCCACTTGGGCTGAGATTCAGCGACTAGTGAATTCTAACTCCCAACTTCGACCGGCGACATGGTGCTATCTCTAACTAATGGCGTCTATGAGCATCTCCCTCACCTTGATATGATAACTGATCTTATTGATCACTGCTTCTCAATATAGCTATACGTACTAATGAGTTGGAGACTAATTTTGGATGTGAACCGATGAGGAGTCCCAAACTAGGACGAAACAACTGACAAGTGCTTACTCCCTAACAAGCCGTAAGCAGTTGATGAGAAGCCAACGAAACTGAATGTTGGTACAATATTATCCTGCAAAACCTGTTGTTCTTGCCCTATTTTTAAAGTTAACCACCGAAGATGGTGTTCAGAATAATACAGTTTGGAAAACAGGCTTAACTAATCTTCGATAGAATTCAATATACGTCATTTAGATGGGAATACTAAAAGCACTGGAAAGATGATTCTTTTGTTCTTTGGTTTGGGACTCGTACAGTGTTATTCCATACAATTTTATTACTATTATTATTTATTGTTCTTTTGGGTTCCGAGTGAAACATAGGGCTTCAACAACAAATCCCCTCTTCAACTGAGTTCACGGTTGCCCGTAATCTCTCATCTCCTCCTCCTCCTCAACAAACGATCTCCTTCATACCAGCCCATGGCGACCCACTCGTCGCTTCCTATTGGAATTTTACTCCAGCGATGGCCTACACTGAGTGCGATGTCATTCGACGGCCTCCTCAGCGCGTGCCAAATCCATCCATCTCCATTTTCCCCTACATATTTATTGAGCAGTCGGCTCCCGCATGTTGGTTTGTTCCTGGTCAGAGTTTCTTGTTGCTAATTCTTTCTGGCCGACCGGCTGGCCATTTGATCTTCAATATGGAACCAGCGAAGGCAGCTGCTGATAAAAGTCTGCATCGACCTGTTGGATATCCTTTTCATGACACTCAGTGCAAGTTTCTGACCCATATAGAAGAGCTGACTGAGTTGACATTTGTTTTGAAAACACGAATCTTAGAAATGATGGAGAAGATTTGTAGCTCAGGTGGATGATTTTGAAGTAGTTGTGTTCTCTGAGGTGGATACCTTATTTCCGAAGCTTTCATTGCCCTACTAGGCAACATCTTCAGCGCATACTTCAATTCGATGAAGTGAGCTTTCAGATTTCTCCACGAGTTTATTAGTCACCTCTCCTGGTGGATGACCTTGAACGTGATTGGTGTGAAAACACACAAAAAACAATCCCGTTGAAGGTCCCCGGGTTACATGACTAACAAACTTCTGGAGAAATCTGAAAACTCACTTCAATTCAAATTAACTTATGGTCTGAAGATGTTGCCTAGTGGTGGGGTAATGAAAGCTTCGAAAATAAACCATCCAGCTCAGAGAACACAACTACATCAAAACTCGAATCTTGTTGTTTATGCTGAGGCAGAGTGTACATTTCCAAACTGGTTTAAAGTTTGGTTTCTCATTTCACACAATAGGTGTAGGATTTTCACACCTTTTGCGCAGGATTGATATCCCACACACGCAACTATTAGGACTGATAAAATTCCAGTAATGACGTCGAGGTCAAAATGAATTAATTAGTTAATCAGAACGATAGGACTGAATTTCAAAAAATCATATTATATTATGTATTATTGCTCTATTTGGTTCCGAGTGAAACACACGCCTTCAACAGCATATCTGCATTTCATTGTGTTCTATCTGCTATCTCCTTTGGATGACTACACGATTTTCCATTAGCTTTTATCACCTCTTTACACGATCGCATCCATGTCACACTCGGATCCACAGCCAAACTCGTTGTTCCCGATTCAGGTTCCACTAAAGGGCCTGGCACGTGATGTCACTCATTAGTTTTCTCAGAGTATGTCCAATTCCTCTCCATATTGGATGGTTTGTCGCCTACCTAAATTTTTTGTTGCCTGTTCATCCCAGTCAATCGGCTATCTATTCTTCAGCGAAGGGGACAGTTGTTCATGAAGGTCTGAAGTAACCTGTTGGAAACGCTTTTGATGACGAGCCAATATAAAATCGCTGCCTCACTTGACAACATTGTTCAAAACCCGAATGGTGTTTCTAAAGCCAAGAATGGAAGATTTCTGTACTGGTAGAAGCGACATCCTTTAGATTTCTTCCACCAATGGTGATCGATGCCTGTTGCAATTGGTTATCACCTCTGCATTCCTTAGCTTAACTTATTATCTGTAAATTATATCGATAAAATTAAACTACTTATTTTGTAAACAGTAGTGTAAATTATATCCTAAAGAAATTTCAAAATGTTTTTTTTAGGCTTAGACTCTGAGACTATAATCACTCCTGAGACAGAGAAACCAAATTCACCATCAAATAAATTTCATGTACAACCGTATAAGTTGGAGAATAATGCATCCGAACAACACACTACCCCTGTGACGATAATTAGACCACCGACGATGACAAAATCAGTGGTAACATCAAGCCTAACCACGCCTACTAGCACTACTACCCCAACACCTAGACCCCTATCAATGGATTCAAGTGATCTCAGAAATAATCCCTATCGATTTGAACGTAAACATACTCCAGATTATGGACATCATCAATTTCAAATCACTTCTCTGTCGAATAGAAAACAACGACTTATACGAAGTCATCATAGTCAATATCAACAGAATAATAATGCTAATAATAATAATAATAGTACAACGATGTCTACTACTGGGAATCGTAATTCTTCACCGCCTGCTTTCATCCATCCAATACAAGAAACTAGTGGTGGTGGTAGTGGTGGTAATTCATTCGGCAGGAGGAGAGCTTCGTCGAAAATAGACATACGTAATTGTAATTTATCAAAACGTGAATCAAAAAGTCAAAATTATCTTCATTTAGCAGACTCACCAAAAATGCGGTATATAAGAGTAATGCATGCCTTTGCCAGTGTACCTGACTTGACAAAGAAACCAAGGAGAAGTGCATTGAAAGGCAGTCGAAATAACAGGTAAGCGAGGGAATTGCGTTGTTTGTTTTTTCTCTGTCTTTAAGTTTTTATTGCATACATCTTTTATTCATTATGTGAAACATGAATGAAGGTTGATCATTTGACAGTTCAGATCACGATATCGCTTGATCCACTTGATTCTATAGATGACAGTCTAGCAGGCAAGTGATATAGCACAGTGCTGTGTATACTACTAACTAAGTGATTTATCTGAGTAGTTAGAGGATAATCACCAGTAGTACTGTAACGACAGAAGACAAGGGCCAGGCAACAGATCGTTTATTGAGAAAATCAACAGATATTTATATATTTTTATGTACATTATTATTCGTTATTATTAGTAGAGAAACAGCGTCTTCTGATTGGTTGTTTTCTCGCTGAAAGCTAATCTGCCATCTCTTTGTGGCCATTTATTTGAAGGTCAGACCATATACCTGCGAATCGTATCCGCCCACGCAAAGTCTGCTGTGATTGGTTGTTGAGTTAGTCTTTGTTCTTACTTTTGTTTTTTCTCATGACCAAGATATGGGGGACGTAAACATTGACGTAAATTGCTGTCTACCGATGTTGGCTAGCAGACAGCTCTCACCACAGTATGTGCGATCTAAACATAGGACAGTCATGAAATAATGGAGAAAATTTGTAGCCCAGGTGGATAATTTGCAATTATTTGTGTTCTCTGAACTGGTTGGTTTAATTTCGAATTCAATAAAAAATGATCGATACAGATGTAAATCGACTACCAGTCATGAAGATGGTTGCCAGGATACACAATTATATCATTATTCATGAAGAATTCAAATGAGTTTATTTTATGCTAAAACTTGCTCTGAAGATGTTGTCCAGAAGGGTGACGAAAGCTTCGAAATTAAACCAACCAACTAGCTCAGAGAACACAATTAATTGCAAATAGGAGAGTCATTTCTTTCAGCAGGGGTTCGAATTCGCCGTCCGTGTACTCAGCCAAGATTAGCGCCCAGAGAGCTGAATCACTCCATAGTACCAGAATTCTGGTTAACTAGTGTAGTCGAAATGTGCCAATCTGTGGGATCAAACCCATCATTGGTGACCAATTACACACACACACACACACAAACACACACAGAGTTTGAGGGGAGAATTCAGCAAACATTTTATGCTGTTCAATGTTAAGTTTGAATGGGTAAATGCCGCTTCTTATCAGTAGAATCAATAAATATCTGCAGTTTAACAATCTTTTACGCGTCTTATTTAATATCAATTAACTTTTTTAATCTGATTGGTCAGTTTTAATTCATTTATATTGTCAAAAATAGGACGAATACAACATTCGTAAGTGTACAATGATTGGTTACTAGTGGGAATAACCAATATGTCATGTATCTTGTCCTTAGAATTGGTGCTTTTTAAATTCTATCGTGAGTACAAATAGCTCTATGGTATCGCCTCTGACTGCATTAATAGGTGACACGGATTTCAACCTCTGAGGGGACATTAGTTCTTCCAAGGTTACTGATACGTGTGGTAAAATGGCTGGTCAGTTATACAATTAATCTGCGCTGGACTTCTGACTGGCATACTTCTAAATCTAATCTATTTGATTTATACGTAGTAAAGCACAAAATAATTGAGCAAAGAATATCCTTTTCGATAATTTCCTCCTCTTCTGGCTCGACAATTATATACGTATATGTTTGTATACATAGTATATTCTAGATTAGTAGTCAATAACAATATTAGTGTTTTTTAAATAATATCAATTTGTTAAGTAAGATCACTGGAATTACAGTTAATTAAAGATGCTTAAATCATAATAATAATAAAGATATAGTAGCGAATAGAACATCAACTGAAATTAGGAAAATTCCACAAAAACTCATGATCATTCAAACCTGAATGGCCAAGGCAGTGATAATGTCTGAACTAACTTCTTTTGGATGCACAACTTAGGCTTGTTAATATGGATCCCAACAGCCAACCTCAGCAGTATTTAGTAGTCGAACTCTTAAGGCAAAACTGAGATTTGTTGGTATGCGGTCAATGACTTTGAAAGCTGCCACGTTGACAACAATCTTGTGTTCTGTATCCACAAGATGAAATAGAATAGCGCTACGAATAGATTTTGTTTGTCACTTGCTTAACCACTATGCAAGGTGATGTTTGGAAATTCGACGAGAAACACGCCTAACTGTACGGCTAATGTAACTGGCTCCGCAGCAGCTGTTGATGAAAATCTGCTGTGACCTATTGGAAATCCTTTTCGTGACACGCTAACCAAGTTTCTGACCCATAGAGAAGAACTGACCGACTTCACATTGGTGTTGAAAATCCGGATCTTGTTGTTTATGCTGAAGTGGAGTGCAGAAGATTTCCAAATTGGTTTCAGATTGATGAAGGTGTATCTTGACCTTCCTTTATGGATAAGATTTTATTTTGATAAATCACACAGTGTTACACAGTAATATTAACTGATGACGTTTCGAGCACAAATTATTGCTTATAATCATATCGAGTTACTCACACAACTTTTCCCTTCTTTTATATATATGTATGGAATTGACTAGATATTTGAATAAAAATCAATATGAGTGTTATTGATCAAATACAATTTCCTTATCCGTGCAGTCGCCTGTAGTCTAATCGATGCTTCCTAGATTTTTGAAGGAAGGAAGTAACCTCTGTCAACCTCTTTCTCCCATTGATGGTGATTAGGGCTGGCTGCTGTTATTGTTGCTGTTCGTCGGTTGGTTATCTACATCACCTCCGTCTTTTCTATATTTAAGTATTGGTTTGTAGGGATTTGGTTGATTGGTTACAGGACTTCATCATGAGCTGACATCAGTTAGAGAACCATTGAAAAACCCACCAGGGTGTACTGGACAGCCAGCTAATTCGTCCTAGTTTGGGGCTCTTCATCAGTATGCACCCACAGCCACGGTTCAAACCCAGGACCAACTGGTTACAAGGACAGCGAGCAAGTAAACCATTAAGCCACTGAGACCAGATTCAATGGCCAACCCATGAATTCTAACTTCTGCCAATTCACGACATAGTGCAACCGCTAGCCAATGGCTTCGGCGAGTATTTGTCCTCACACCCGACCTGCTGCACCCTACTGGTCACGACTTCCCCCACTGGAACCCCAGGTAACTACCTACCTGTATAGGGTCAGTCGCCAGTGAGCATCTCATTGATAATCAAGTATCGGTTTGTAGGGATTTGATTGATTGGTTACAGGATTTCATCATGAGCTGTCATTGGTTAGAGAACGATTGGAAAACTCACCAGGGAGTACTGGACAGCTGTTTCGTCCTAGTTTGGGACTCTTCATCGGTACGCACTCACCGGGGCTCCAACCCAGGACCTTCTGAATACAAGGCGAGCTCTCTATATTTGTCTGGAGTCCTGTCTTCGCTGCCTGACTGCTTCTTCAGCCAGTTTGTTGATTTTCGCCTGGTTAATTGTAATTTTACATTCACATTTTTACTGACATTATTTCCAGTGTAACTGTCGTGTTAATGATTTTCGCCGTTACTACGTAATTTGAAGAGAACCTTAAACGGAATATATTGTACCGCATACTGAGAATTCTACACTGTTTATCAAACATACTGTTTCGAGTGAAGTATACGGTTTCAGAAGCACATCTCCGTTCCATCCTGTTTTCTAAAGTCGTCTATAGCTGACTCTACGACTTCCCACAAGCTGTCATCTCCCCCAGCAAGCGTCTAGCGCGTGATATCATTCAACAGTCTTCTCAGCGTGTATTCCATTCTTCCCCATTTCCTTCGACAAAAGTTTCTTGGTTGATTCGTCCCCTGCCAAAGTTTGTTGTCGCTAATCCTTTCTAATCGGCTGATCATCTAATCTTCAGTATGAAGCCAGTAAAAAAAGTGTGTAGTAAGCTCATTATAATAAAGATTTTTGTATTTCCCAATGAATGAATGAAAACAAAACGAGATTGCTGTTTTTACTGACGTTTCGCTATTCAATGCTGCTGCTAAAAACTTTATCAAAGTAGTATTATTAAACCAGAATTTACAAAATCTCAGCATGTATATATAACAAAGAGTTGAGGGGTGAGAAAATAGACTTAGGTCAAGTTAAAAGGACATATTGAAAGTTAAAATAACAATGAAGATCACTAAACCAAAAAACAAAGGTAATAGTACATCTGTTATGATATCAAAATAAAGTTTACTAACTTGATCATCGTTCCTCAGCATGGGGTCATTTTTGCGTTATTGTCAAGTTGGCCAATTGGTAAAGATAACAAAACCAGGTAGATGTAGATTGTTGGATTTGATCAGTGTGTAAAATTATACAAAAGCAACGTGTGTTTACATAATGAAATGGCTTATCACATTCGTGTTGATTTTATCATTTCATGGGGGAAGGGGTGGGTGTTGTAACCAGGTCAAATTCTGGTTCAGTTCATCATTCCATTTGATATGAAGTGCTTCTGATGATATTAGACGTTCTTTATGATTTCTGAAATTTTTCTGGATTATTTCAATATTGTCAAAATCAATTTTGTGACCTGATTCTATAGCATGTAGACCTATGGCTGGTGATTTTTCAAGTTTTTCCAGTTCAATTGGATTTCTTGGTGGTCGAACAGATGCTCTACGGTGTTCATTACTTCTGATTTTGATTTCTCTCTGGTGATGTTTGTCCGATGTATATCGCATCACATTCCAAGCAGGTATTTTATTTTATAGACACAATTAGATAGAGAATCTTTAGGGATTTGGTCTTTTATATGGACAAGGTTGTTTCGTAGTGTGTCTGATGTTTTAAAGAAAACTCTAATGTCGAGCTGATTGAGTACTCTTCTGATATCATCTGACAACTCTGCTCTATATGGAATGACGACTGTCGAGGTCCATTTTTTCGGAATGCGTTTTCGGCCATACTTATATCAGAAGCACTTCATATCAAGTGGAATCCAAATTAACTGAATAGGAATGATGGACTAAAACAGAATCTGACCTGGTTACAACACCTCCCTCCCCCATGAAATGACAAAATCAACACGAATGTGATAATCAAGTTCACTATGTAAACACACACTGACTTTATAATTTTACACACTGATCAAATCCAACAATCTACACTTGGTTTTGTTATCTTTACCAATTGACCAAATTGACAACGAAAAATGACCCCAGACTGACGAACGATGATCAAGTTAGTAAACTTTATTTTGATATCATAAAGACGTACTATTACCTTTGTTATTTGGTTTAGTGATCTTCATTGTTATTTTAACTTTCAATATGTCCTTTTAACTTGACCTAAGTCTATTTTCTCACCCCTTAACTCTTTGTTTTATATATATATGCTGAGATTTTGTAAATTCTGGTTTAATAATACTTTGATAAAGCTATTAGAAGTAGCATTAAATAGCGAAACGTCAGTAAAAACAACAATCTCGTTTTGTTTTTCATTCATTGGGAAATGTAAAAACAAACCTTTATTATAATGAATATCATATATCCAATGCCCAAATTTTTTCAAACTGTTAAAAGTGAACTTGGTTTGGACATATATAATGTGTAGTAAGCTGTTCGAAATACTTTTGGTGACCCGTATGCCAAAATCTCTGAAAGATACACAGAAACTGAATAGGGTCATTGTCAAGGAACCAAACCCTAAGTTCCTATTATAATCTCCGAAGACGCTCGAACCGACAATTACTGACTACAATATTGACCTAAACTCCAAAACGCAAGGAACGAGAAAAAGTTGTATTGTTCGACAGTTAAAGTCAACACTCTGTACAAAGTCTATATATATAAATAAATGTTTTACAAGGAATGTACTGTAATTTTGATTCGTATTCTTTCGTCTTCTTCCAACTTGTACACGATTGAATCATTCGCGCCTTCGAGTTGCCCGCCAATGGCTACCAAGGTCAATAAACAAACGTTCAATGTTCACGTCCATTGACAGGGTCATTTATTATATTTGTCTTTTTGTCTGTTTGTTTTTTCCCATTCACAGTGTTAATCGATTAGTTAGTGAATGTGAACCTGTGGCAGCTTCACCAATCCCAATGAATTCTGACTCATTTTCATTAACCCCACCAACACCAGTTGAAATACGCCATTTATTACATTTTCATAATTATAATAATCAGCATGCATCAGATATCTCAAATACACGAAGTAATATTAAACCAGTAATTAAAATGGATTCAATGAAATCATCAAATGATTCTGATTGGTCAACAGGAAAATATGAGCCAACCATCAATGAGAATGGCAAGTTGTTGAATATCGATGTAAAAATTGCTTATAGTAAATATTCACCGGAACAGAAACGTACTCATGAAAGCAGTCGAAGACATTTTAACTTTGCAAGTGAATTATACAATGAAGACAATAATAATAATAATCATAATAATAATAATAGTAATAATAATAATGGATTTGTACAAACTATACACTATCTACAAGATTTACACGAAGTATCCGTTAGTCGTATGGAAGAATCGATCGATGAAGTCGAAGCATCCTACGACTATGATGGTGATGTCAATAAAGCTGATCCTGAGGATGAGGTGAAAGTGAAACAGCGGAGACGACAACTGCAGGAGCAGACAGTTCTGATAGTGATCAAAATACTGAGGAGAAAACAGCTGAACAAGTACCAAGATTTCATTCTAAGGTAAGACTTTGTTTTCCATGTTCTCAAGCGTTCTTTTATAGAAGGGATTTGATTTGCTTTTTACATTTGAACACGGATTGATGATGTCAGTTAGAGAATCATTGAAAATCAGCAAGGTGTACTGGACAGCTAGCTGTTTCGTCCTAGTTTGGGACTCATCAGTGCCCACCCACCGCCAGGGTTCAAGCCCAGAATCTTACGGTTGCAAGTCAAGCTTGTAGAACATTTAGCGTGACCACCAACCAATGACATTGGTGGCAAGAATTTATCCACACTCCCGATTGGATGGACCCCACTGGTCACGACTTCTCAGTGGAACTCACTCTAGACAACCTCGTCCTGTAGACAGTCAGTCACTAGTGAGCATCAGATTGATTTTCAAGAATTGATTTTTGTAGGGATTCTATTTGGTTTCCGGTTAGATCACGGATTGATATCAGTTAGAGAAGCGTTGAAAACCAGCTGTTTCGTCCCAGTTTGGAACTCATCGGAATAATCATTTGTTTATTGGATAAACTGTGAAACAGTATTATTATTTACTGGATGACAACGTTTTGAACACAATTTATTATTGTTCATAATCATAACATTAGTTATAACCACACAACTTCATTCTTTCCTATTCGTTGCAGGGATAGTTGAATTTTCCAGATGTCCGGATGGACAGGTGTTGAGTCATTCCTATTGCAGGCACTCATTTTCACTTGATTCGATAAACAAAGCTTCAGTTATCAGTATCTCCCTCCACCCACGTAGTTTTATTAGATTTTAAGACTGTCATCTTATCCCATCCTATTGTATGGTTGTGTTGTGTGTAATTGCATTCAGTGCTTACTATAGCTGAACTATTCTCCAGATTTCTTATCTTATTAGGGTCAACTAATCTAGATTTTGCTGCTAGGTTTTTGTGCTCCGCTAGTCTGACTGACTGACCCTGTTCTACTACTCTGACCTATGTATTTGACCTGACAATCATTCCGGTAAGGTATTACATAAACTAAATTATTTTGTTTAGTTAGCTCCACAGGATCCTCTAAGCAACATAGCTTGTTTCTAAGTAAGTTTGTGAGCAGTTTGAATGCAAATTTTATTCCTGATTTAGAAGTAATAAAGAAAACTACAAAAAAAAGTTTCAGAGTTTTGTAGCTACAATTAGTGATATGATTATGAACAATAATCAAGTATGTTCGAAACTTTGTCATCGAGTAAATAATAATACTGTTTCATCACTATGTGTGATATATCTAACGAACAAATTAATACAGCATTACATATTATCACCACAGTGCCCAAGTTTTAAAAATATGTATTCAAAGTGTGCCTTTCTGAACGTCTAAAGATAAGAGAATTTCCAACGGACATTTTATTAAGCACGAAAACACATCACATTTATATACATTTTTAAACCATATTAAAAATCTGTCAGGTTAGTAGATAATAAACTATTCTGGTTGGTCGGCGATTAATCCAAGGTTAAACATTGAGATGAAAAGTTGTCCAATGAGATTGCTTCCTACCATACTATAATTAGCTTTATAAACTACCAGTATCACAAAGGCGGTGACAATTGGTATTAATTGGAGTCTACAATAAAGGAGTCCTTGGTGTACTTTCTACTCACTGAAACCATAAGAGATATGGTGACCTGCTTAAATCAACTGCGTATTCTTCCCATTTTGAATTCTGAACATAACATAAGGCTTCAAGTTTCAGGCCTTGATTTTTCAATAGCGATGGTATTGATTTTATGGGGCGGAGGTCACTAACCTTACCCAATGTCAACCTTCCCTCCTTACCGGGCTTACTGGCAGCGAGGCGAGGTTTTGGAATGTGTAGGCGGTTGCACATTAACTCTGAAACCCTTACGTGCCTGACTGGTTAACATTCTACCTACCACTGGACCACCAAGGCTCACTTAAATCATTGGACAAACTAATTTTTCATAGAACACAATACATGAAATTGATAACAGTTCACGGTTTGTTTTAACCATCCAGTTACGCGTCCCTGAAGATGAATAATCCTAAGTCAGGTGTATTTTTTTTCATACAATGATTCCCTTTTATAAATTTGAACAAAGGAAGAAGAAACATTGGCACAGAATAATCTGGATCCATTTTATTTCGTTGGTCCTCATCAGCTGCGTACAACCTTTGTCCATTAGCAAGCATACTGTCAGAGCGTCATAGTAAAATAAGGCATTACGATTTACAGGGTGTCTAAAGTGTTACGACATATATAATATATCTTGTTAGAGAGAAGTTTCTTGAAAAAAATGAACTAACAGTTGTGTTGTTGGGGTGGTAACAAAAGAAAATTAGTGATAGTTACGTAATTAGATAAGAGAAGATCAAAATTTTAAAATTTCGGTGCACATGAGGTCAGATGAGAAGGCGATGATGTAATACAGTGAGCATAACTCAGAAGATCAAGAAAAATCATCTCTTCAGAGAGTCAAGCGAAAAACTCGACTACAAGGGCGACGACATTATGAGAATGGTAAATAAAAGATTAAGCGCAGCCCTGTCTAGGACGTATTCTGCAGCGTTATTAGTCTCTCTATCCCGAACAACCTCTTCACTGGTGGAGTCAAAGATTGACAAGTACATATCACTTGTTACCTTCAACTGTGTATACTAATTCAAATGAATCTGCGGGAGCAGTTACATTGGAAGAACAGAGAGGAGGGCCTACGTCAGATTCTGTGAACCAAGGAGTCTCCTGTTAAAATGACCGAATTGTTTAAGCTCTTCAATCGCCAAATACCTGATTGACACAGGACGCCGAGTAGATGTGCTGGAATCATTCAAAATAATTAACATACAAAGTAGCTCAAGTCTTCTCAGGTTTGCTGAAGCTATAGCAATAAAACGATTGAAGCCTGACTTATGTGTCCAATAAGAATCCTTTGTTGAAATTCAATCACCCTGGTGACTCACTTCTTAGTAACTCTTTGTTTCTTAATTTTGTTAACTTATCTTTTCACTCCCTCCCCTTTATTTTTCGCTTGACTCTCTGAAGAGATGATTTTTCTTGATCTTCTGAGTTATGCTCACTGTATTACATCATCGCCTTCTCATCTGACCTCATGTGCACCGAAATTTTAAAATTTTGATCTTCTCTTATCTAATTACGTAACTATCACTAATTGTCTTTTATTACCACCTCAACAACACAACTGTTAGTTCATTTTTTTCAAGAAACTTCTCTCTAACAAGATATATATATATATGTCGTAACACTTTAGACACCCTGTAAATCGTAATGCCTTATTTTACTATGACGCTCTGACAGTATGCTTGCTAATGGACAAAGGTTGTACGCAGCTGATGAGGACCAACGAAATAAAATGGATCCAGATTATTCTGTGCCAATGTTTCTTCTTTCTTTGTTCGTATTTTTTTGAAATATTTTTCAGTAGACTTCTAGGAGTGAGGATAAAACCCACCTTGAGGTGTTTTCGCGCATGGTTTAGCACACGCAAAGACAGATCTGTCTAGCCATGTAAAAATAGGATCAATAAAACACCTTTAAAACATCTGTGGCACAGCGGTAGAATGATCGCCAACCACGCCTCATGTGGCCCGAGGTTCGATACCCGGCCACAGATGCACTCCTTTACCTCGCTAAGTCAGTAATTAAATTGGTAAAGAGGGAAGGTTCGGCATATGAGGCCAGCAGCAACCCCATTCTTTAAAAGTATATACCACTGCTACAGAAACTTCAAGCCTCTCGCTTGAAGCCCCCTATGTTCCACTGGGAACGTAAACGAATAAAAAAACAGACAAACGTAACAATTGGTATGATGATTACAGCTTTCCATCTAGGCCCATAATACAAAATCATTTACGAACAACTCTACCAGGGAAAATTCAAATCTTAATTAACCGCTTCCCTCCTACTTATTCAAGTATATTAAAACACTAAAGCGCCGCAGCTTTGTTTCCCTATAACTTATATATTCACTCAAACTGCTGAATATATTTTGAAGGGGTAAAACAGTCGAGTAGGCGGGATGGTGTGGAGTGTATGGTGAGTTGAAGCACAATTATTTTAAGAAGAAGTTAGGAAGATGGAAATTTTTAGCTGAACATGATAAAAACGAAATCTTAGAATCGTTGTTTATATTCAATTGATTTATAGAAATCGATAAAATATTCTAGAACAGAAATTCGAATAATCTTACTCTCGTTTCTATAAAACATGTACACAGCGTGTAACAAGCATTCTCCGACTATGGCTAATATAGCCGGCTCTACTGGTTCAAATGGATCGCTGAATGCAAACAGAGACGGTTAGACGAGGGAGCTTATCTTTTACAGTTAGTAAAGATTGACTGAAGTTTCATCTCACGAGAAACTTTTCCACTAACTGATTTCGCAAAAGAATTTTTATTTAAAAGTTGCAGGATTATTACTATAGACGCATTAGTCGTTAGTTAACCCTTAGTTTTAGCGATTTTTCTAATTTGGGTGCGTAATGTTGAAGATTAATAGACGAAGAGTCTCTTTTTGGCGGCGAATTCATTTTCATAGCTGTACAATCACAAATATATGCATGGTTGTTTTGTATGTGTGTGTGTACATTAAATTTGCCAAACGAAAATACAACTAGTAAGTTCAGATGAATTGGATGTTGATATAAGAGGGTAGTAGTAACAAAAGTGATGAGTTGTCACAAACGATTGTTAAAGAAGAGTTACGTAATAACAACGTGAATAGTTTGATGAAAGAGTTGTGCTCAGGATGTACGTGGAAACAAAATAACATACGGAATTACGCAATAGTTTTAAGTAGTTAGAAAAATAAGCATACAAGCAAAAGTTAAGTCAAATCAACAGAGTTGTTACCATAATAGTAGAAGTGGTTGAATAATTGTCTTTTGTATGCATAGTTCTGGTTCTTCCAACTGAATGGCTAGGACTTCTGCAATGCAAAGAAGACGGAAACGTATTGTCTTTGGCAGGTTGTTCTTCACTTTGTAGATCACTTTGAAGGAGGCGTTTGTTGAGATGGAATGACCATTGGTGACGAGATGTTCGATTATTGCACTCCTTATACGGCCACTACTTCCTTTCTGCAGCCACGCTGGATAGTGTTCTTTGACCCTTTTTGACAGGATGCGCGTCTAACGATCGATGTACCTGGCTCCACAGCAACAGGTGAACTGATATATACACATAGAAGTGGTCAAGTGCGGGATCTTGTCCTTTGGGCTTCTGTAGATCAGCGGGTGACTGGAGAACACTACTCTCAATGTTGCCGCAAAGAAAGTTCTTCTTAAAGAAGTGGAAATTCTCCTCCTAAGGACATCACTGAGTAGGTCACCTTTGAAGTCAAGGTTCATATAAAGTATCTTTTTTGGCACGGATGGCGTCTCTTGCTTTTGGATTTTCTGTTTGATATTTTCATCTATGAATCTTGGTGGGTATCCGTTCTGCGTGAAGATTTCTTTCAGGAAGTGTAGTTCTTCTTCCAGGGTATCAGAGCTGCAGATGCGTCGGACGCGAGTAGCTAGGGATCTAATTAGGTTTCTTTTTCGACTGATTGGTACCCGGCTGTAGAAGCTTGTCAGTTGGCCGTTCCATTTAGGTTTCCTATGGATGGACCTTCTTAAAGTTCCGTCAGCTCTCCTTGTAAGTTCAACATCAAGAAAGGGAATTTTAGATTCGTTTTCAATTTCAAGAGTGAACTTTTCATGAATTAATGATGAAGAGTCCCAAAGTAGGACGAAACAGCTATGCAATAGTCCAATACTGGTTATCCAATGGTTCTTTAACTGATGTCAGCTAGTGATCAGTCGTGTGACCAATCAAATCCCTGCAAACCAACACTTTTTTAAAAGTATAGCTAAAGTAATTTTGTTCAAAAATTTAAATTATCTAATTTCACACTGTCGTTGTTTGTTTTTGTTTAAATAACCAGTTACTTCGACGTGATAGTATTGAACACTATCTTGCTGTTAACAAATTGTCGTCCAATGCAGTCAATAAACACAATGCCCAATCATTAGACGAAAACAAACACACCCCGATCGATAAAATCAATAGTAATAATAATAATGATTCAGTCAATAAATTAGATGCAGCACATGAAATGAATTTTGTTGGAAAAGAATCTGTACAACAGCGCATAGACGAGGATAAAGTCAACGACAGTGATAAAGAATCCATCGTCAAAGAGAATGGCGCTGAGGTCGATGATCCTGATGAAGAAGATGACGATAAAAGTAGTGTCAACTCAGTGTCAGTATCTGAATCCCTTCGTGATGATTATTCACCGAAGCCCTTGTTGACTGAAGTTCTTTCTCCAGCATTATGCGCTGCTGGTTATGGTCCAGTTGGTCATCTATTGACCAGGTGGTTACCACAAAGAAATTTCTGTGAATTACTTATCGGAACTAATGAAAGTTTAGGTGAGTGTATCAATTTTCCCAGTATTTTCACTCGTAGAATTTTAAATGTTTTCAATGCCCGGCTTATCACTTCCCATTTGGATGCCAATCGAAGGATTATCTGGTGTGTAACGTCACTTCACTGTCTCCTTGGACTCCGTATATCCAATCCATCTACATTCCTCTCTGTATATAAGTTGAACAACGAACGGGTTCTTGTATGATTCAGTCATCCTTGTTGTCTGTTCTTGAGTATCGAACGAAATGGTCAGCTATTTGTAAAATTCTGTAGTAGCCTTTGGGAAATGCTTTTGATGACGTAAAAGCCAAGTCTTTGAAGTACACGAAAGTACCGACTTGATAAGAGCGTTGAAAAATCCAAATCTTGTTCCCTCTCTTGAATGACTGCTGTACTAATAAACGTCCGTCTGAAATGTAAGGTTTTAAATGTATGACACTATGTTCTCTTCATTGATTACACCAACCAGTAGGTCTTGTTAGTTAAATAGCGCAGATCAAATAATTGTTATCTAAATGATTTTTCTTTTCAAAGGAAACCGTTTAGATTAACAATTCAACCGACTAAATGAAAATATGGAGCTTCGAAAATTCATTCGAATGATTATTTGATTGGTCAGGTGACGTTTATTATTATTATTGTATCCTTTAATTCCTAGAGGAACATAGGGCTTCAGCCGTGCGTCTCCATTGAGTTCGGTTCTCTGCTAGAGTCTTCACCTGGCTCCATGTCTGCCCACACGTTTTCATCTCCTCTTCACATGACCTCCCCAAAGTCACCCTGACACTGACGACCAAATCGCCGCTTCCCTTTAGGGTTCCACACGAGTGATGGCTTGTCTTGTGATGTCACTTGATGGTTTCCTCAGAGTATGGCCAACCAATCCATCTCCATTTCTTCCTGCCTATTTGTTTCACAATCGGTTCCCGTGGGGTTGGTTCGCTCCCAGAGATCCCTGTTTCTGATCTTTCCTGGCCATCTGATCTTGAGTATTGAGCGAAGACAGCTAGCTGTTAATGGAGGTCTGTAGTTTGTTTGAGATGCTCTTTATGACGCGCCAAGTCTCTGATCCGTAAGGCAAGTAGCACTGACTTCACATTGGAGTTGAAAATCCGGACCTTATTTTTGATGCTGAGTGTTGTTGACCTCCACACAGACTTGAGAGTAGTGAAAGCTTGTCTTGCTTTCCCGATTCTTGCTTTGATATCCTCGTCAGTTCCATTGGCCTGTAGCTGAAACGATGCTTCCCAAGTAGGTAGGTAAAAGAGGCTGTTTCTTTCAGATTCCTCCTACATATACTGATTGTTGTCTGTTGATCTTGCTGTTGACCAGGAATCTTCATCACCTCTGTTTTCTCTATGTTCACCTGAAGTCCTATCTTTGATGCTTCTTCTGTGGCAAACTTGTTACTTTTCACTCACGGATCTTCCTGTTTGTGTGAAATCAGACATATATCATCGGTGAAGTCCAGATCCTCCAAATTTTTGTGTGGGTCCATTTTATGCCTGTTTCCTCGCTACCCGCTCTCTGTCGCACTATCCAGTCTACCTCAATCAGGATAATCACTGGAGATAGTAGGCAGCCAGTTTGTCTGACTCCCGTCTTCATTTCGAAGGTTTCTGTAAGTTTCCTGTTGTGGATTACATGGCATGCAGCATTATCGTAGAACTGTTGGATGAAATGTAAAATTGTCGGTGGCACTCCGTAGAAGCGAAGTAGTTGCCAAAGCACCTCTCGATCGACTCTGCCTGTCGAAGGCTTTCTCAAAGTCGATGAAGTCGAGATAGAGAGCTGACTGCCATTTCAAGCTCTGTTCAATGATGATTCGTAATGTGGCGATCTGATCAATGCATGACTTGTTTCTGCTGAATCCAGCCTGTTCAGGTCGAAGTTTTTCATCTAGGTGACGTTTAACGGGCTGATATCAGCTAACTGAAATCTAACAATCAGAGAGTGTGTAAGTTACCTTGACTAGATTACTAGTGTAACGCCTACGCACTTGTAAGCAACCTACATGTTTTCTAATTGGTAGATTTTAATATTCTGACTTTAGGACTATGAATACCTTTTTATTCAGTAAGAGTGTGTATCAGTCAGTCAGTTACCTAGTCACTGAATAGTATTGTAAGGGCAGAAGACAAGAACCTGGCAACAGATCGTTTTTTTCAGAAAATCAACAGATATTTATACATTATTATCAGCGTTAGTGTTAGCAGGGAAGTAACGTCTTCTGATTGGTTGTTTTATTGTTCAAGGTTATTCTGTACTGCTTGTGACCGTTTCTCAGAAAGTTAAGCCATATATCTGCGAATCGTATTTGCACACGTTAAGTCCTCTGTGATTGGTTGTTGAGTTCATTAAGGCTAACCTTGGTTGTTGTTTTTTCTCATAACCCTGATTTGGGACGTAAACATTGACATAAATTGTTGTCTACAATTTTGACTTGCTGACAGCTGTCACCACAGTATGTTTATATAAGGAATGTAAAAGTCCCACGCTACATACACTGAATGATTTAGTTGCTCAGATTTGATGACGATGAAAAGCTGTTAGGACGGTTTTACATCGCGATAAGGAAGCGTAAACTGTTTGCGTAGAGTTTCACACATATATACCATGAATTAATTACCACTGACTGACGCTTTCCAACATTATCAGCTAAGCGAAAGACAATACATGAGTGAGTGAATAACAGTAATTATATTATAATAATCCTGAAGACAGTTGTCTTTTATTTTTTTTTTTGTAGATACATCAGAAGACTCAAAATGGTGTAGAAGAAAAGAGTTGCTGAAGGAATTAGCAAGAACTGTAAGTTTTCAGTAATGGTATGATTTCATTTATACTTGATGAGTTTGTTAAATACATTTTAATATCCGTCAGAGTAACGCGCCCAATAATACCAACAGCGGAAGCAGAACTATCAGTTGACATCAACCCTCCGACGAGAACAGAAATCCTGAAGGCAATCAAGATGCCAAAAAACTGGAAAAGCAGCAGGACCAGACGGAATCCCTGCACAGGCATTGAAAATGGATCCAGAGACATCAGCGGACTTGATGAATCTACTACTCGAGAAGGTGTGGAAAGCGGGCAAGGTACCTGCAGATTGGAAGAAAGCCTACCTGTTCAAACTACCAAAGAAGGAAAATTTAGGTAAATGCAAGAACTGGAGCGGCATTATGCTCCTGTCCATCCCAAGCAGAATACTAAGCCGGATCATCTTGGAGAAAATCGAACAAGCCCTGGATGAAAAACTTCGACCGGGACAGGCTGGGAAGCATCGTTCCAACTACAGGCTGACGGAACTGATGAGGATATCAAAGCAAGGATCGAGGAAGCAAGGCGAGCTTTCACTACTCTCAAGTTTGTGTGGAGGTCAACAGCACTCAGCATGAAAACGAAGATAAGATCCGGATTTTCAACTCCAATGTGAAGTCAGTGCTACTCACTATATGTACGGATCAGAGACTTGGCGCGTCGTCACGAAGGCCACTTCGAACAGACTACAGACCTAAATCAATACCTGTCTTCGCTCATTACTCAAGATCAGATGGCCAGAAAATATCAGCAACAGGGATCTCTGGGAGCGAACCAACCCCGCGGGAACCGATTGTGCAACAAATATGCAAAAAATAAATGGAGGTAGATTGGCGATACTCTGAGAAAACAAACCATTATCAAGTGACAGCCATCGCCTGAGTGGAACCCGAATAGGAAGCGGCGAGTTGTTCGTCAGTGCGAGGATGACATGGAGGAGGTCATGTGAACAGGAGATGAAGGCATGCGGGCAAACGTCGAGCCAGGTGATGAAAATGTTGGCAGAGAACTCAGCACACTGGAGACGTGCGGCTGAAGCCCTATGTTCCTCTAGAAACTAAAGGAAACAATTGTAATAATGAATTCGTCAGAGCAAGAAAAACAGATTTACAGTACAGAATGTACACATTTGATTTCACGGCTTCTTTTCAACTGCAGATAGTATTCATAAAGTAAGAACGTACATCTTTTTATTCTACTCACGAGAAGTTTGTCATAAAGATTGTAGCTTAGGGGAGACAAAAAATGGGTGGAATGTATGATAACAGTAATCAGTTACACAAATAACACCAGAAGAAAGTGGTTATTTGTCATCATAAGCTTGAGAGAATACGCGAGAACTTTTACTAGCTGACTTAACAACAAAAATAGCAGACTAATGGACTACTGAAATACTCTAGAGTTTCAAAGGGGGTATGACTGCTGTCCTCATCCACACCCAACCCCTTTTTTCCCAGCCTTACTATTGACTAGCAAACTGAGCGAGGTTGAGGAGCACATCATTCGAGGGAGGATTGAACCCCGCATCCCATGCTGCATAATAGTTGTTGGTGAACACACAAACGCATCGATAACTTATGTACTCACTCAAACCTTTTTCCCCTTTTTTCTCCTCTTTTTTGTTTTATTTGTCTAGTCATCTATGTATACAGAAGATATGACACACGAGATGTTTATGTTACGTTTCTCTGAATTCGTTGAAGTACAAGAGCTGGAACCATGTGATCGAAGTGCTGATAAACCATGGATTAGATTAACACCAAAAGACAAGGTGAGTTGATAATAATAATAATAATAAATAATCCAGACTAGGACGAAACAGCTGTCCAGCACTCCCAGGTTTTCCAGAGGTTCTCCATGGAATCAAACAAATTCCCTACAAATCCAATACTTGAAAATTAATCTGATGCTCACTAGTGACTGGCCCTACTCAGGCAGTTAACCTGAGGTTCTAGTGGGAAGCCGTGACCAGTAGGGTACAGCAGGTTGAAGATGAGGCAGTAACTCATCGAAGAAGACATTGCGAAATGGTCGCGCTATGTCGTGAAATGGCAGAAGTTAGAATTCATTGGCTGGCCATTGGATTAGGTCCCAGTGGCTCAATGGTCTACGAGCTAACTTGCCTTGTAGCCAGAAGGTCCTGGGTTCGAACTCCCCTATGGTGGGTGCATACTGATGAAGAGTCCCAAACAAGGACGAAACAGCTACGCAGTACTCCCAGCTAGTTTTCCAGTGGTTCTCTAACTGATGTCAGCTCATGATGAAGTTCACCATGCAATCCTGGAAGAATTTATTTCAAGACTGAATACTAACTTACACATCAGATTCCTCATGTATCACAAAATAAGCCTTACTTATTGTAATCTGGCCACAAATTAGATAAATACTTAATATCAAGTCAGTTAGTGCCCCTGTATGGTTCAGACAACTCGTACTCATGTCATCAAACGAATTTACAACAGCCAGCTGTAGACTTTCATCAACAGATGCAGCCTTCCACTTGATACTGAAGATCAGATAAAGAACAAGTCGACAGCCTACGCGTTACTCAAAAAATACTAAGAAGGAAGCCAGTGAACTACTGAGAGCATCAAGTGATATCACAGACCTGGTCATCGAGTGGAACCCTAATGGGAAGCAACTAAGGTGACATGAGGGGAAAAGTTCAACAATAGCGTCACAAGAGATGCAAACGCACGAGTGTCCTTAAGCCGACCAATCATTAAAAAATGAGTGACTTTTGCATAAAAAATGATGTATTTTTACAAGAAAATGCATGCAAATACATTAATCGGGATATATTTCTCTGACATGACTTAAAAATACGTCCTAGTTGTAATGAGGAGCATCAGTTGCTATGTTAAATTAGTCTCTGTACATGTATTCATCGAGGTGACAAAAGATGAGCTGTTCTTAGGAATCATTTATCTCTCTCATCCTGTTATGCAGTCGTCTCCAAAGCCATCAGTTGAATTACTATGGTTTCCAGTAAGAGGATCGACGACTACTTACCAGGAAAATGTGGATCATAAAACAATTTAAATTAAAGGACATCAACTCTAACTCTATCCCTAATCGTAACCCTAACCTTGAACTTAACACTAACCCTAACCTTAATCCTAACCCTAATTACAACCCTTATCCTAACCCTAACCCCAATACTTATCCTTAATCCAATCCTGACCATGACCAGCTATTAACAAATTGTCCAAACAGTACTTAGAAAGGCGATCTGAGTGAAATTTGCTGCTTGGTTGGTGAATAGCTCCGATATTTCAGCTATGATGATAATGACAGGTGCCGTTAGCCAACGACTAGCATGCGTTCAAGGTCACTGAAGCGTTGACGCTCCAGGGACGCTATTGTTGAACTTTGCAACATGGGGAAAGTCATGTGAGGAAGACATGATGAAGAATTGTGAGCAGTCATAGAATCAGCTACCAGTAATTGCAAACAACCGAGTGAAATGAAGATGTTCGACGCGAACCCGACAGGTGGCGAGCCTGTCGACCATTGAGCCAATCACACAGAATCCAATGGTCCATGAATTCTAACTTCTGCCAGTTCTCCGTATACAAAGCACCATCGTCTTAAAATGTTACTGGCAAGTACTTGCCCCTATTTTGGACTTGAAGAACACGAATGGTCACGGTTTGTCACCAGAACTGCAGGCAAATTCATCCTATAACTTGTCACTAGTGAGCGTTAGATTAATTTTCAAGTGTATTGATTTGCAGGTATTTGATTGATTTCAAGATTGGTAACAGATCAATAGGTTCCTTTTCATAACCTGAAGGACCATGGTTTGATAGCTGGTGAGTAGGGTCGTGGGTGAGTACTACTGAAAAGCCCCAAACTAAGACGAAACTGCAGTATAGTGATTCCTAGTTATCAACAGTGCTCTAACTGGCGTCAAACCATGACTTAAATAGGAACAAGCCTTCTTTCAAATAAAGTGAATATTCGCCCTACAGAAAGTACTTTGGAATTGCGAAAAACGTTATTATTTATTTTTGTTTACCTACTGACAAATATTTCAGTAGGTAGCTAATTGCAAACTAATTTTTCTCCTGACTATTTCTAATTTAGGCACTTATACGTAGAGAACTGAATGATTACAAGATGGCTGAAATGGATGTCCATCAAGACAGTCGTCAATTCACAAGGTAATCAACTTCCTTTTCTTCTTTTCTATTTCTGTCAATACAATTGAAAATATTAGGCCTCCCATCACTGATCACCCTGAAACTGGTGTCACGTGAAATAAAAATCACGTTTATTCACAAGAGATATGCAGCGAATAATGATAAAACACATTAAACAGAATATTTCTCCCTGACATGACCCAAATATATCTCCCAATAATAGGGATAAGTATCAGTTTTTAGATTAAACCAGTTACTGGACATGTATTCATCGACGTGACTGAAGATGAGTTCTTTTTGTAACCCATTTATTGTTCTAATCCTGTTTTTTTTCAGTAGAGGGATCGATAACTATTTACTAGAAAAATGCAGATAATAGAGATTAAAAGCCCCAACCTAATCATAACCCTTACGAACTATCAACACATTATCCAAATAGTACTTTAAAACGAGATCTAGATGAAATTTGTAGCTCATTTCCTTCATAGTAGCTCTACGGTAATGGTAGGTCCCACTATCCAAAGACTAGTATGGATTAAGGTCATTTGTGCGCTCGCATTCCTGGTCCTCATTCAAATTGATGCATTTTGGAGGTATGCTTTACCATCGATTCATTCTCAATTCGCCCGCTTTAAATGCCTTATTGACTAAGCAACCACTGACTGGCCGCCTCAAGGTCATTAGTGTGTTTATTCACCTTGGGTCGAACAGTGACACACATCCACAGTCATACTAATAATCTGACTGCATGACTATTTCATTAAAATCAATATTTATAGTCTAGACATTGTATTTCAGTTTCAAAAAATCGATGGCCTTTTTAAATTCATTTTGTGACCTTGACTTTTAATTCATTAAAACAATGCATTATTATACATTGTATTTCATTTCCTTTTTTTGTTTTCTTTTTAAATTGTCTAGATTTCATCCACCATAAAATATCTACGCACAGATATCGTGGAGTAGTGGTAGTAGGCTGACTGAAGTACCAAATTACAAGCAAACACACAAACTATTTCAATACCTTTTACTTCATCTTGTCTACTCTTTATCTATCCCGTATGTATGAGTCATTCAAGTCTGCGAGAGAGAAAAACAACAACCACTGCCGAATAAGCTATTTAAATTATATTTGTCTTTCTGTGTAATGTAAACTACACCTGTCTGAGTGAATGTGTGAACTAAGCGAATGAACCTGTGCAATAATATATACACATATACACAAATAAATATATAAACAAAACCCAGTGAAACAATAACCAACCAACCAATTAATCAATCGGAGGTAGAGTGAAGGCGGGGGGGAGGAGAATGCTAACCCTACCGCTTGTCTGTGATAAGCTACACGCATCGCACACATACACACACGTCTAACTCCAGTCATTTTTCGTTTCTTTTTTGTGTCTTTCTGAATTTCGAGATACTATTTGCTGCTTTCTTTTTTTGCTTTCACATACATACATACATTGCCCTCTGTGTAATGAATGTTATAATGTACATAAATTTGAATATATATAAATATTTATTTAACTGGTTTTGGGATTATTTATCACTCATGGTGGAAACATGACGACTTCCTGGATCTGTGAGACTACTGCATTACTGAAAGAGATTTTGAGCCATATGACGAACAGTCTCCAGGCATTGGATCTTAGGATACTGAGGACCCCAACTAGCTAGGCAGTCTACACCTTCTCCTAGACGGCTGATTGGAATCAACAGTCAGGCCTATTGGATTGATAGTTGGTGTCGATTTCACTATCTTATCCTGTATGTCAGTTAAAATTGCTCAGTGAAAAAGGCGGTGGTTTGGCATGTTGTGTTGTAACACATGCCTTACACTCGTCTCAATCGATGCAAATTCTTAACTTTATCGACCGACCTAACACAACTTACATCTTAATTATACCATGCAAATACACTTGTTTTTACGAGTTGATCACAGAAGTCTACGCTTGCTTATCCATATCACGTAATTTATATGGGCTGAATGTGGAAATTATTCCGTAGCTTAGCTGAAATGAATGTTTTTCTCAGCGATCATTAGGATAGATGGTTCTGAAGAATCTCAGATGATGTGTCACCTTTGAATTCGACACTCACCGTTTGGGTTCCTCCAAGCCTTCCTATATTTTCAATAGTTTGGTTTGTAAGGGTTAGTTTTGTTTTAACGAGTTGATCACGGATTGATATCAGTTAGAGAACCACTGAAAACCAGGGAGTGCTGGACAGCCAGCTGTCTCATCCTAGTACTTGGGAATCATCGGAAGTACGCACCCACTGCCAGGGTTCGAACGCTGGACCTTCCGGTTACAACGTAAGCTCGTATACTATTCAGCCACTGGGACCCGATTCAGTGGCCAGCCCATGAATTCTAACTTCTACCAATTCGTGATTCATGAGCCATTGAATCGGGTCCCAGTGGCTGAATGGTATACGAGCCAGCTTGTCTTGTAACCGGAAGGTCCTGGGTTCGAACCCTGGTGGTGGGTGCGTACTTCCGATGATTCCCAAACTAGGAGGATGAAACAGCTGGCTGTCCAGTACTCCAGTTCTGGTTTTCAATGGTTCTCTAACTGATATCAATCCGTGATCAACTCGTAAAAACAAAACTAACCCTTACAAACCAAAACTATAGAAAATACACTTGTGCTTAAAAAGTAGCTAGTCTCTTCAGGTTTTTCATCTTTGTTCACGATCTCATCAGTTGACTTCTCTTCCTTACCTAACACGTCGTGACGTCTAACCTCAATATTATTCATCCTATTACATCGTATAATACGGGAAATAGGACGCAGACATCTATGATCAAAGACAGCTAGCTAGTCGGCCTTTTCATGTCTACCACTGTCAGTGGCCATTTCACATGCTCATAAAGGAGAACACAGTGAACTGCTAAGTAGTAAACATATTCTTTGACCGATAGTCGGATATCGCATCTAAGCCAGTAGTGAAGTAAGCTGTCAAATGCCACATGAACCTTTTATGTTCGTTCTGACATTTCGTCAGTAATCATTCCATTGGAGTTGATGCAACTTCCCAAATAAGTGAAGTAGTCAACACGTTCAACCAACCACTTCCCTCCCTGTCTTTAAGGTAGGAGTTACTATGCTTGGGGTCAGTGGACGAAGTCGTACTGCTGGGGGACAGGGATGTAACAGCAGTAAGGTGTTTCCCTCAGATGACCAGCACGCCAGCCAGCTATGCTGTCTCTCCACTCTGGAGAGAGGGGGTTAGAAAAGGTCGACCTCAACAATTATACATCCCAACTTACCCTACGGTGGTCCGTAACCGGCGGTAAATTTACTAATACGGAACCAATCCAAGAAACTAGTTCATACAGGCCGTGTGTGACCAGCCTCAAGTAGTTGTCCCCTGGGCTCTGCGGTCAAGCAATACTAACCCTCTTTCAGTTTCAGGTACCCGAAGAATCAACCAACTTCCACGGTGTGTGGGCATCCGGGAAGTAACAACCGCCCACAAACTTCCAAAAGTACACGAAGCCTTTCCAGAGCATCATTCTCCTTTCTCCACATCATCTTACTTCCCTACTACAGTCAGTACTATTCTGCAGGCTAGTCAGTCATCTTCACTTCACTCTGTGACCACAAACAACAATGAGAGCCATGGAAACACCCCTGACAGTCTCTTAAAGCCACGTCGCCAACGTCATACAGGAGCATTCAACGTCAAGACCCTCTGCCAAATCAGACAACAGGCATCACTAGCAAGAACTCTAGCATCTCGAGCCATGGATGTATGTTGTGTCTCGGAGACACACTTTATGTGCTAAGTGAAGTGTGGCGACTCGAACTACTGCACATCTGTGCAAAGGTATACATTGGAACCAGTCAGTCAGTTAGTCAGTTCAACCACATATTTTACAGTTCGATATTAGACCACCTGGTCCAAACCGGCCGGACAGAAAGCCAGCATTGAAGAATCCTTCTCTATCATCTACCGGGTACCAAATAAATTATCAAAAGCATCCAGGTACCGAATACTCCGAACAGAGTAGGCTATCGGGATTCGTCTAAAACAACCAGTGCTTTGTGTACAACTGACTAATACATATGGTCCGGGTTTCGATCCCCGGCCAACGCACACCTGATATCAATGGTCGGCTTGTTAAATTTTGGGCTACCGATATCACATCCTGGAAATTCCATACTTGTACCAAAAATACTGTGTGGAATCAAGCAATAATAATAAAACCAGCTAATTCGCCTCTTCGTTTTACACAAAAAGCCGTTTAGAAACATCAACCCCGAAAATTGTACATCCTGATCTACCTTGCAGCTCTCCATAGCTGATAGCAAAACCTAACTAACTCAAACAGGTCATATGTATGTGACCGTAGCATCAAACAGTTCCGCCACCCCCCTCCTGTTTCAGGTACCCCTCCCCCACCCCAAGAAGGAATCTACACCCACTGTGTGTGTGGGGGGGGGGCAATGGAGAAGTAATAGCCGCCTGCCTACCCGCGCGTGCACACACACACACGAACACGCTGAAACACTCCCATTAAAACACACAAAAGTTAACATGAACCAACCCAAAAAAGTCTTTTTAGAAGAAAAAACACAAGCAACACAGTGTGCACCAAAATTCATTTATATGTATTTTTCAATAGAAACACAAGACATAGAAAGAAAGAGAGAGAGAGATAAAGAACGCGAGATCAAAGCGAAATTCAATTTTTGAAAAATATAGTAGAGAGGAAAATAAAATATGTTTTCAACAAATGTTTTATGTCACACAGACACATCTACGCACACACACACATACGTACACAAACTTACGTAACCCTATTTGAGTGACAAATTGAATTTACTATTGTTGTTGGCTGTTTTGAGGGCTATTGATGTAGACGAAGGGTTCCTATAGACATAACAGTCGAAGTATGTTGGTCTTCTCGGCTTTGTACACAAGCAATGTGTTCAAAATGTCGTCTCTCTTGATATTCTCTCAACAATATTCATAAAAAACAGTGGGAGGAGCATTAGCAGCAGAGGAGATCGGCATATCATTCCGACTATCATCAATGCGATAATCAATATTATGTAGGTACGCATTTACAAACACCAACACACATACACACACGCAGAAATCAAACAACCTGGAGTAGAAACGGCATACAACTCTTAATTCATAAAAGAAAATATTTATGAAGATCACCTGAATCATATTTAAACAGAATGTCAACAGCATTTTGAAATAAATTCACATTAGATTCCCAAAACAATCAACAATCAAAAAAAATAAACATAGTGGAAGCGATAGGAGAGGTACAGAACAGGGAGAAATGAAGAAGGTATATATAAATATATATATGTTTGGACAGAGGTAACTAACATGGTTTTTAACAATGGTAAATATATGTGGGGAAAATGGGTTTGTTTAGAGTGCACATATGGGTGTGTGTGTGTGTGGATGTTTACATATGGAATGTTAAAACCTACTCATCGCACGCACGCACGCACGCACACGCATACACACACACAGACAGCCACACTCTACTCAATATTCAAATATATATACGGTATGATGTTGCATAATAAAACGCTACAGTGAGTAATGAATTGAGTAGTAATCAGAGCATAATAAAGTGTCAAGAAGTAGAACTATCCCATAGACATTCATGAAGACTTGTGTTTACAAGGAGAGAGACATATAGGTGACGGGGATAGCAGAAACTCTCACTCAGTGTATATTACATGTATATCTAGCATGACTAGCAGTATACACATTTCATACTTTTTCGCCTTATTCGTCTTCTTCTCCGCAGAAAGAATTTCAATGTTTACATCATACCATAATTAAATACACATTAGGTAGACAAGTGTTTATGTGTCATTTTTGGCATGTGCATTTATTTCTGTGTGTGTGTGTAAGTGTGTACACATGTATAAATATCTGACAGAAAGAGGGAATAGATTACAATTAATTCGGGTGGAGGGGTGAGGGAGGGGGGACGGTTGGCTGAGGAGAATAATAAACAATACAAATAATAATAGTGATTAAACAATATTTGAGAATAATTTATTGATTGATTAGAAAATATTAAATGTAATATTTATATACTACTATTAATTACTACTATTTCATAGCTGTTGTTGTTGTTGTTGAATTTCAACAGAAAAACGAAACAAAACAAATGAACGTCTGATGTGTTGGCTTATTTTTACGTGATGTGTATACATTATATGTAGTACATGTGCGTATTTTGTTCATCTATAAATAGAAAGAGGAAAAAGCAAAGAAAAGCAGAAAAATATTAATTTCCTTTCATACACATTTTTACAAAACAAAATCAAGTCATCATTGAAAATTGACAGCAAAAACGTAAAAAGTCAGAATACAAAACAGGCTTTAAGCTTATTGGCTAATGCGTCAGTCAAGTCATTTTGTTTAGGCAGAAATTTGATTGGTCAATATTTCAAGCCAGCCTCCCGCAGAGCTCGATTCAACCAATCAGTTAATAGTACTGTGTGATTTATCAAAATAAAATCTTATCCATAATGCCCAAGTTTTATATTTATATCAACCAATCAAATTTAAGAATTTACAATTGGCTTAATTTTCTGATGATTCGTGATGCATATATATAGTAAAAACATAAAAAACGTGACAAAGTTGATGAATTGTCACTGGGACAGATCAATCTTCCTTACTGAATTTGTTTGTCTTTATTCAAGGATTTTCCACGTCAACAGACGGTATTCAAAGGCTAATCAATCATATGATGGGAAATTGAGCGATGGTAGGATATGGCCTAAATACTCCTAGTTTGAATGAGCGCTGCTTGATAAACCTAAATAAAAACGGAGAATTCTTAATGCAATATATGCCGCAAAATAACAGTAATAAAATCATCAAAATTCAATTTTTTACGTTTAAATTTGAGTCCTGAAGCCTAGATATATGACGACGTGAAGTAACAAACTTACTGTTACAGAACAGAATGAATATATATATATATATATATCAGGTTAGACCACGGATTGATACCAGTTAGAGAATCATTGAAAACCAGGAATTACTGAACAGCTGTCTCATCCTATTTGGGGACTCATCAGCAGTACGCACTCACTGCCAGGATTCGAATCCAGAACCTTCCAGTTACACGGAAGGCTCGTACACCATTCAACCAGTGGGACCCGATTCAATGGCCAATTCAATTCCAACTTCTACCAATTCGTGATTCTTTCTTGGCGCGACCATCAACCAATGTCATCAGCGGGAACTCCACCCTTACTCCCGACTGCATGGACCCAACTGGTCACGGATTCTCACTAGAACTCACTCCAGGCAACTTTGTCCTGTAGCCAGTAAGTCAATAGAGAGTATCAGATTAATTTTCAAGAATTGGTAGTCACACTAAAATCACGAATTGGTAAGAGTTAGAATTCATGGGCTGGCCACTGAATCGGGTGCCGGAAGGTCCTGGATTCGAACGCCTAAGTGGGTGCGTACTGCTGATGAGTCCCAAACTGGGACGAAGCAGCTGGCTGTCCAGTACTCCCAGGCTTTCAATGGTTCTCTAACTGATATCAATCCGTGATCTAACAAATAGAATCCCTACAAAAAAACAGATCATTGAAAATATATATACTATTATTATTCCCTTGGGTTGCGAGTGGAACATACGGCTTCAACATCACAACTCCATTTCATCCTTTTCTCTGTAGGTCCCCTTAAGCTGGCCCCATGAGTACCCACACGCTTTCATCTCCTATTCACACAGTCTCGGACGCCCAACTCCTCGTTTCCCACTCGAGCGATGGCCTAGTACGAGATTTCATTCGAAGGTCCACTCTCAGCGTGTATCCACTTATTTCCATTTTTCTACATATTTGTTGAGCAATCAGATCCTGGTTGGTGTATTCTCAGAATTTCTTGTTGTTTATTCTCTCCGGTTGGCCATTTGATCTTCAATATAGAGCCAGTGAAGACAGCAGTTGTTGATAAAAAATCTGAAGTTGCCTTTCATGACTTACGCGCCATATTTCTCAATCATATAGAAGAACTAACTCAATTAACATTGGTGTTGAAAAGTGTCTAAATTTTGTTCTCGATGCTGTAGAGTGCAGAAGATTTTCAAAGAGCTGATTTCAGAGTGATGAATTTTCTATTTAATTCAATTTGGATTTTTCTCTCTCATCGATTGAATAAAACGAAGTGCTCGGTCTCAGATTGACGTGTCGGCTACTTGTGCAGATGCTTCGATGATGTCTAGTCATGTAACTTGAAGTCAATTGGTGACAAGCAGTGGAATCCAGGATGCGCATTTCGTCCTAACCTTTAATAATGCTTACCCACCAAACATCAACTTCACCCTAGAAGTCGATTCTGATTCGATGTTCCATTTCCTCAATGGCCAACTGAGTAGAAATGCTGATAACTCACTCAGGAGACGGGAAAAATATCAATTAATTAAGTGGTGCCAGCTCTCGTGGCCCAAGTGGTCTAGTGGGTAACGCTTTGGCGTTTGAAACTATGGGCACTGGGTTCGAGCCTCGGTGGGAACACCATCATTCACTGGGGAATGCAGGCACATCCAGATGACGAGTACCAAATAGGACGAAATGCGCGTTATCCTGGATTCCACCTGCTAGTCACATCCACTAATTGATTTGATGAATTTTCTGTCTTGCCTTTCCGATTCTGGATGATTTTGCACATCCTTATTCCGTGCCGACGGCTTGTAGTTGAAACGATGCTGTGTAGATAAATTTCTTCCATCGCTAGTGATTGGTTCTTATTGTTGTTGTTGTTTGGTTTAGTATATGTATATCCATGGTGATGCGGGGGTGGCTTGAAATGCTGTCCAATCAAATTTCGGCCTAAACAACGACCTGACTGACTCATTGACCAATAGGCTTTAAGCCTGTTTTAATCTGACTACACTTTTTTACGTGTTATATATACACCACCAATTACTGTTATTATTAATAATAGAATCCGAATTAGTATTGTTACGTAACAGTTACGAGAAAAACCTGTTGTTAGATAATAAACAGGTTACAATGTTGTTGTAGTTGTTTGTTCTCGTTTATTTTTATTTGGTTTTAGTAACGAAATATCACACACGCACACACACACGGACATAAACACACAACAATTTCACCATAACCTTAAAAATATACAAACAGAAATATAAAAACAGCTTAACATACACATTTAATTTAGAGATTATGAGAAACAATCGATAAATGAAGTTAGTTAGTTAGAGGAGAAAAATTACAGTGAGAGAAAGTAACGATAACAACTGTAAGTACTGTGGATTAATTCGACCGCGGGCTTCAAAAAGCATTAATTTTTTTAAAAATCCAGTAACAATCGCAACGTATCTACTTGTTGTTTGGTGATGTTTAGGCATTGAATGAAACTATATACTGACTGATTGATATATAAGCAGTTGGATACTACTTATTACATTAACAAGTAGTGTTTGCCAGCCAACCAGATCGAAGTGGTTTAAACACCAGATGTGGTCGTTTCGTTCGTTTGCAGACGAGTTCGGCAGCAGTGTAGCAAATCAGCAATGCGGCCCTCTCTAGTGTTCATATATATCACTGATCTGAAGAGCACTGCTGGTTGATGTGAGTAATACACAAATTTTGTTTAGGCATTGGAATCTACGACTCCCCTCTACCCCCACCCACCCCACTGGATCAAAATGTGCCTGATCCTCATTGAAAATGGATATCCACCGAGAAAACAGGAAATTGGTAGAAGTTAGAATTCATGGGCTGGCCACTGAATCGGGTCCCAGTGGCTGAATGGTATACGAGCTAGCTTGCCTTGTAACCAGAAGGTCCTGGGTTCGAACCCCACTGTGGTGGGTGCGTACTTCCGATGATTCACAAACTAGGATGAAACGGCTGTCCAGTACTCCAGTGCTGCTTTTCAATGGTTCTCTAACTGATATCCATCCGTGATCAACTCGTAAAAACAAAACTAACCCTTAAAAACCAAACTATTGAAAATATAGGAAGGCTTGGAGGAACCCAAACGGTGAGTGTCGAATTTAAAGGTGACACATCATCTGAGATTCTTCAGAACCATCTATCCTAATGATCGCTGAGAAAAACATTCATTTCAGCTAAAGCTACGGAATAATTTCCACACTCAGCTCCTATAAACTGCCTGATACGGATAAGCGTGGGTAGACTTCAATCTTCCTGTCCAAATGCTCTCCTCATCTGGCCACTCGTTCATAGTACCTACCAGATAACTCCTATTTACTACCTTCACACAGCAGAGGTGTTCCTCACTAAAGTGAAAGGACGAACGTGAACGTGTAGGTCTACCCTGTTTGCAAACCTATGCTGTATACATTGACTCCAGAATCCAAAAGAAAGAATCGAATGGCATGTATGAACCTGTTTTGGTTACTGGGATCCATGGGAACGCAGTCCCCCTGCCTTGCAGATCAGATCAGACTTCAGGTCAAAGGCTTGGCAGGGCAAGATAACCACTTGCTTCGATCTGAGAGACCGGATATTAGTATCCCAGTCTTCGCACAACCTATGAAACAACAACTTCATTTGTATATAGCGCATCTCTTGGTGCCCGATAATATACCAAGTTTGTACTTTAACAAAAATGAGTATTAACTCAAGATGAAAAGACTGTTTCCAAAAATGGACAGCAGAAATAATAATCATTATCACTGTTAATTCTTTCTTTCTGTCTGTCTATCTATCTATCTATCTATTTGTCCATCATATCCATCCTTACAACAACAGAAAAATCTTTCAAGGGAATTAGAAAAATAATTTGAGAATGAATATAAAAAAACACGAAAGTTTAAATGAGACGAATAAACAGAGAAAAAAGAATATTGTAAAAGTAATCAATTGTGTATGTGGTCAGATAGACATACTCTCATACAGACATATAACGTAGATATATAGACAGATGGATAGATAGATAGACACAGAAACACACATACAAACACACACTGCAGTATACTGTTTGTATAGACCAATCATTTAAGGTATGTAGGTGTGCGTAGGTGGTCAGGCAGACACACTCTTACGTAGACAGACGCACGCAGATCGATAGGTAGACAGACACAGAGCGATTTACTGTTTGTATAGACTTTTCTTTTAACCTTGAATAGAAAAGTTGAAATAATCGAGTGTGTATGTAGGTGTGTGCGTGTGTTGTGAGTACAGATATTCCAATAAATATAAATTATGTATATTTTGATTCCAATAAACTTTAATCATCATTAATATTTTGTGAAGAAAAAAAGTGTGAAACAAATGAGAACAAAAAGTAGAATAAAATAAAAAAAGACAAATTAGAATAAAGTGTGTGTTAGTTAGATAATTGTACACATTCTTTCATGTCTAATATTATGCAACAAATATGAATGAAATGATGAAACACAAACAGATAGATAGACAGATAGACAGACGGGAACACACACGATATCACCGATATCCCACCCATCCAACCCCCCAAAGTATGAAAAACACACGCATATAATATACACATCAATTTTGTTATCAATCACATCGATATGAATGATGAGTTGATGAGAGATTTTTGAGGAGGATGAGAAACATAAAAGTAAAACAAGTGAAAAATTGTGTTAAAGAAATCAAAGAGGAGCAGAATAAAAACAAGAATGGAAAAAGAAAGAAAGAAGAAACTATTAGACTCATAACAACAAAAGCAACAAATCGTGATCAAAATATAAAAAAATTATATACGTACCTTTATATACAACTCATTGTGATTTAAAGATTTTAACCACTGCCGAATGTTATGTCAGAAATACTGTGATAATGATGAACTGACTGACATAATTTAGAGGCATTATTAGAAACCAAAGAGCACTACTGGATAGTTGTTTCGTCCTAGTATGAGACTCTTCAACAGCAGAGCCTAACGATAACCCGACATTGAGGTTACGAACTCGTTGACCATTTCAGTGTCAGTGGGACGAAATCAAACGTTCAGTCAAAAGATGAACCCCTCACTTCTGTCAATTCATGATGTACATACCAGTAGCAGCACCACAATCAAACATCGTCGGTGAGTATTCATCCTCTCACATCCTTACTGGTGGTCAACGCATATCCCCTAGAACTTCAGGCAATGTTTTTGAGTGTTGATTTGAGTGGTTTCAAGTTAAACGATGAACTGACACATCAGTCGGAGAAAGGTTGAAAACCATTGGGATACTGGACAACTGTTTCGTCTTATTTCGGGTCTCTTCGTCAGCAAACACTTATGACACCTTCGTGGATGGTACGCATGACCCTCACGTTACGAGGAGGACCCAGTGACCATTTATGCAATCACTAAAAGAGAATCCAATAGTCTCTGATATACATAGCGCCACGGCCAGGCAGCCAGTGTCATCGGTGAACCCTTTTCACCACACCTCAATAATGCTGATAACTTGTCAATCTGTTATCAGTTACTAGTGAGGATTGGACTAATCTTAAAGCGTTAATTTCTCGGGATTCAGTTGATTTCAGATTACATCCCAAAGTGAAGAGACAGTTGGAGAATCACAAGAAACTACACAGTAATAAAAAGTCGTTTCGTCCTAGATTTGGACTCTTTAACAGGATGTGTTCACGAACCCAGGAAGTCACAGTTACTACTTTAAGTTGAAATCAATCAGGTCTCTGTAAAATCAACACTCAGAATTATAGTGTGGTGTGTTCTACTCATCAGACTTATCAGTAGTATATGAAGAGACGTTCAACGGCATAAAAACACCAAAAAACAGGGAGATAGATTTTATGTTTTTATACCGATGAACGTCTCTTTATGTACTACTGATAAATATTATCAGTAGCACACGCTACAATGGTAATAGTACTTGAAGAAATGGTGTTTATTTAGGGGAAAGTTTTATCGATTTCTCATCGCCTCACCCCATCAAAAAATTGATATCGACCAGTTCAGTTCCTAAGATATCAGTTGCGAGAATATTTCAGCTGAGAGCTAAAAGACTCACTCACCACCTGCCAACAACAACTACAAGTTATCTTCATTTCACTGGAATCACACACCACGGTTAATGCTCAGATGTCATGCGTTCTGACTGTGGGATATACAGTTTCAACAAGTTTCAGCAGTATTAGTGTTTTTCTACGGTGTGGGGTTCTTAACCTCACGCGGGTGGTGGGGCGAGGCTAACTACCACCTAATCAGTGAGGTTTATGAGGTTACGTGTCAACTGGGAATCGAACTCAAGACCACAACATGCACTCCACCACCAATGAACCGGTGATCCAAATCCACCTCCTGCAGTCTCCTAGATTCCACTGCTAACCGCCACTTAACCAATTAATTACCATAATAAGAAAAAACCCCGTAAATATAATGTATAGTTTTTCATCATTTCTAAAATTTACAATAAAATTACTCATACTAAAGAATAGATGGGAGGGAGGTGGGGTAGACAGTCGGAGAAGTGAAAAAAACCAAGACAAATAATCAACTATAAACTCACTTTTGGAAGATATTTGCATTGAAAAGAGAAGGTAGAACAGATGGTGACTGAGTAGTTGGCGTCGACGTGGCAGTACTACTACTACTAGTTTTGACAGGCAAAGATGCGGCGGTTTCATTGGATTTGCTTTGCAATGGCTTTTCAACAGGAGATGATAAGTGCTACACTTTGTAGTAGATATACTATTATCACTACTAACTATATTATCAGTAGTATGAGTAGTAGTAGTAGTGGTAGTCTCGGTTGAAGGTGTCACCATCGGCGTTGTTGTTGTTGTTGTTGTCGTTGTCGTTATGATGACAGTATTAGTTGATCCTGTTGTCAATTCACCTCGTGTAATCCCATTCAAAGTTCCAGGGTATGCAACTTCAGAATTATTATTATTATTATTATTGTTCTTATTGTCTGAAGAAATATTATCGAAATTAGCCCATTTACAAGAGGCTATTGAACCGAGAAAAAAAATACAAAGAAGAAAGAAAGAAAAAATCTCAGGATTGAAGAAAATACACATTCGAATTCCTTTGGACACAATAAATGATGGTATTATACTATACACTACTGTGATTCACCCTTATGAGTAGTTTGTTGTGAACCACTGAACATATGAAGCAGTAGTGCTTTTGCTAGCCAACCAGACAGCCAGCCAGCTAGATCGAAAGAGAAGCGATTTAAACACTGGATGACAGGCTGATCTCTCATTTAGGACTGAGCTCATACACCGGGAGTTTACTCCTCTCGACTCATCTCATTGGGATTCTTGGTGTGAGCTACCCAACTACTGGGCTAATAACACCGTTACTGATCGATGTAAGTGTTACGTAACTACTCATATGAGTCAGTCAGCAGTATATCACAAGATCAGATCATGGGTTATTTTGGTGAATTTTCTCTTCGAGTTGCGAAATTTACAAATCGCGAATATAATTCTTCAGTATATACAGATATATGTTTATATGACTGACTGACTGATTGACTGACTGACTGGTTTCAACATAGAACTTTGCACCGATGCGCAGCAGCGGTTCAAGTCGCCACATTTCAGTCAGCACACAAAGCCAGAGAAGAAGAAAGTAAAAAGAAACGCAAAACAGAGACAGTAATCAGAGATATGAGGCAAAAAGAACATTTTCCATAGTTTGGTTTGTAAGGATTAGTTTTTTTTTCACGAGTTGATCACGGATTGATATCAGTTAGAGAACCATTGAAAATCACCAGAGAGTAGTGGGCAGCTATTTCATTCGCCTAGTTCTGGGAATCATCGGCAGTATGCACCCACCACAGTGGGGGTCGAACCCAGGATCTTCCAGCTACAAGTCAAGCTACCTCGTCTACCATTCAGCCACTGGGACCTGATTCAGTGGCCAGCCCACGAATTGTAACTTCTACCAATTCGTGATTTAGCGCGAACACCAACCAATGTCATCAGTGGGACATCCATCCTCACACGTGACTGCATGGACCTCACTGGAAACGACTTCTCACTAGAACTCCAGGAAGCCCCATCCTTTAGCAAGTCACAAGCGAGGATCAGATTAACTTCCTATAGTTGGTTTGTAAGGGTTAGTTTTGTTTTTACGAGGTGATCACGGATTGATATCAGTTGGGGTCGCGCTAAATCACAAATTGGTATAAGTTAGAATTCATGAGCCATTGACTCGGGTCCCAGTGGCTGAATGGTATACGAGCTAGCTTGACTTGTATCTGGAAGGTCCTGGGTTCGAACCCCAGTGGGTGCGTACTGCCGATGATTCCCAAACTAGGATGGAACAGCTGGCTGTCCAGTACTCCAGTGCTGCTTTTCACTGGTTCTCTAACTGATATCAATCAGTCATCAACTCGTAAAAAGCAAAAGAATAGTAATATGGGTACTATAAGTCACAAAGAGTAGATGCATCTGCGCCAGCCATTGACATCGATTTTGAGCCATATCACCAATTATCTCCAGTCATTTTTGTTTACCATCCTGAGGATCCCAACTTGGAAGTCTACATCTTCCTACTTGGCTTAAACTAACTATTGTGGATTTCATTGACTGATGAAGCCAAGTTTTGGTTTGACCACCACTGGGTCTCTTCCAACCTCACCGTATATCAGCTAACATTGCCCGCCGGGGAGGGCAATGGCTAGGTTAGGCATACGGAACACATGTCCTAACCATTTCTCGCAAGCGATGTAACTTCACAGCCTCGTCAATTGATTGCCCCTCTTTACCTGGCACTCGACTGATGCCTAACTTCAATATTGCTCATCCTATTATACCATTTCACACGGAAGATAGAACGCAGGCACCTATGATGAAAGACAGCTAGTCAGCCTTTTCATGTCTTCCACCCTCAATGGTCAGGTCTCATATATATACATGGTCTAAATGTATACTGTTTGAGCCTCAACATCCGGCGCTTTTATTCTCAACTCTCCCCGCCTTGTATCTCATCTGGTACAACTAGAAATCAGTACAAAAGATGATATGCTCGTACTACCAAGTATAGGAACTCAACGATACCCTATTTAGCCAGCCCGTGTTCTATGCGACAGAGACAATGTGAAGTGTGAGACTTATGAATTACGACAATGTTAGGAAAATAAATCGGCTCTTTTATTATCTCCTATTTGTAATCTATGGGGTGACAACTACATCAATTAACAGACAATCTCAACTACTAACATTAGTGTTATTATTACTTGCTATTGTTTTTATACATAAATTATATCTGATTTAACTGTCACTACAAATACCAAATAAGCACTGTCATTAACAATCAATCCATCCCTGTAATATTATCTTTATAATTGTTTCTAATGTTATTCGATGCAAATTAGATGCAATAGTGTACCAAATGCTGAAAATTCCATACAGTGGTGATATCATTAGTATTGCTGTTTTGGAATAAAGCAAACTATTATTATCCTTATTATCATAATTTCGCTTGAAGATTCTACATCCGGAATTCATACTTCGTAATAGAACATCCTGAGAATTCTGTAGTATGCATGTGAACGCATCCTTGCAGCTAATATCATAATAATTGAGAATGTGAAGCCAATACATCCATCTAAGCCCTTAGAACATGCGAAAAATGATGTCACATCTCACTGTATTTACTAATTTGAATGTACGTGTGGATAGACATACATGCATAGAGAGGACTCATCGATCTCTGCAAGTAAGGGCTGGCTTCACAGCATATTCTTAAATGGCTTCAGAAGCAGATAGAATCCCCAGAACCCATTAATGGTGAGAACAGACGGCAACCTAGCTCCTCTATTGTGAAACATATTATAGAGACAGGACAAAAATTGAGGTTAACACACCTTTTAAACTTATCTATAAAATGTGTTTGGTGAGTATCCTAAAGTTTGTGGAAGCCCCAGCTGGCAGTTAGGAAGTTTAAAGCAACTTTATGCGTTCAAAGCAACAATTCGTCATCACACTAAACCCCCTTCCTTGGTAAACTTTGTTTTGATACTAGCCAGGCTAGATGTACTATTACCTCTGACCTTCAATATGTCCTTTTAACTTGACCTAAGTGTCTATTTTCTCACCTCTTAACTCTTTATTAATTTCATATATATTCCTATGACAAGTCCGTGTGTGTGTGTGATCAGATTGTTCGAAATGTGTTTCGTAAATACACACAACACAATTCAGACAAATTACGTCTTCTTATTGCTTTGTCTGACTAAATTCATAAAGGGGACTAATTGTTTCAAAATTATTATTATTATCATTATTCTAAGTCTGATATGTTACAACCACCGGGAATGAATACGATACACGGCCCAAGCCACTATTATAACTGATTGAGTCATTTTATATATATGCACTGTAATTCAACCCGTTGAGAGAGAGAGAGAGAAGCCTTACTACCTCTCCTCATCCTTCAGAATCCTGTTATTAACTAACTCTTTATTACACACTTAACATTCTAGTGTTGCCTAATTCTTTTCAAAAATACTCTAGTACACTTACATACACGCACGCACGCACACACACACATGCACACCACTCATACACCCACCCATATGCGCGCCTCACACATGCCTACAGAGGACCTCTTTAGTTAGCATAACATAACTGGGAAGTGAGCAGTAGTACCATTAGTACAGTTTTGGAATAAAGTAAATTATATATATATATATATATCAATAACATGACACACTAGCTAAATCACTTCCCAATAGTTAGTCCGTGAGGGGTTGCTAACCTCAGTCCATAGAAAGCGCAACACCACCGCCACCACTGAAACTCTAAAGCCTATCATATTTTTAACTCGGAACTTGAACCCTGACGGGGGCGCGTACTGATGAAGAGTCCCAAACTAGGCTGACGATATAAACAGCTGGCTGTCCAGTACTCCCTGACTGGTTGGTTTTCCAATGGTTCTTTCTCTAACCGATGTCAGCTCATAATGAAGTGCTCCAACCAAATAAGGAAAACACATATGGACTTACATTCATTTGAATCTGATTGATGACTGGTGGTCATTGAAGCAAGTGGGTTAGCTTTCTTAAAATCAGCCCATTCATCATCTGTCCCGGTCGATTGATTGGTTTCATCACTCCAAGGATCTAGTTTCCCGCCAAAAGAAAAAAACAGAATGAAATAAACAAATGTATTAGAGACTAGTGACATTATAGAGCCTATTTGTGTTTGGTGAAGGCAGAGGCAGGGTATCCAGGATAGAGTGGCCAGTACAAACCCCTTTACTACTAAAATGCATGAATATCAAGTCTTGAAGACTTCAGAAAAACATCTCTGTAGAAGCTGAATAATAAAGTTCTACTTTTAGGATAGACCAATTTCTTACAAAAAGAATAAATTAGCACGGTGACCAGTTTATCAGCTGGTGTGGTAAACACAAAGAGCAACAAACGGCAACTCATAAAGCTATCACAACTATCACAGATTTCATGAAATGATACCAAAATTTTAATATGACCATCTCTCTCCAATTCTTTCCCAACCTGATCTATCCTATGTCAGCTAACATTGCCCATTGTCGAGGAAGGCGATGGCTTGGCTATAAACAACATATGTCCTAGTCATCTCAGTCGATTCATTTTCACAATTTCATCATCATCTACTGATTTACCCACCTTGCCTAATACTCTATACCAGACCTCAATGTTGGTGTAGTGTTGGCTATTAAAATGGATGAAAATCAAGTGTCAGAGGTGGGGGGGATGCTAGTGACATAATTGATATAGTTCTTCTTTTCTTTCTTTTCTTTCTTTATCTTTACTTCGGCTATCTCCTACGGGAGGATGAGCCGGCTTCATGAACATCTCGAATCATCGCTGCCCAGGCGCGGCGATCTGATGCAAGGTTTTGCGACAAGAGTTCATGAAGTTTCATGGGAATTTGGTACGAGTGATGTCCCCAAAATCGCTCAGCCTTTTGTTTTAGAGTGCAGCTCTAGCCTTTACACAACCAAGTGTGACCTACAAGGCAGTAGGAGTGGAGTAGGGAGTCCACTATCCATTGGCAGCCGGTGACCGCAGTTCGGTTCATACGCCCATTTGAATGGGGTCAGACATCCAGGACATCCAACAAGCCCTTTGTCCATACGTCTGTCAGTGAGCTCCAGTGAGCTTCATACGCCAGTCGTTGGAGGTTTGGAATCAGGGTTTAGCCATCTCCCCTAGACTGTCATCCAATGGACAGTCAACCCGGTGAAGAGCGCCGGGTATCTGCTTTGGTCCTCTCAGTTTGGTGAAAAGCACCTCCGCCACGAGAAGGCAGTGAGTAGGACTTCCTCAGGAGAGGCTATGTAAGACGCCCGGTCATTTGAGAGCATTTCAAGAGGTGTGCGGAAGGGTGGCCAACCCGCAGCGCAAGGCACCCACCCCCGACCATCCTGAGGCTTTGGACCTCTTAAGATAAAAATTAAAAATTATGTAGTCGTCAACGATACAATGGAAGAAAGGATTTGATATTTGATAAGGTTAAAATGGTTATTGTGAACGAGAAGTAAGGTAGTTAGATGAGTATCCACTCGACAAGTGTCAAGATGATGGGGTGAGTTAAAATCATTTAAAATCAGGGAATTCAACCTACCAGGTTATGAGGAGACAAATATTGTGTGATTATGTGATGGAGTGGGACTGATGATAGCCCAACTCCATTACCCCCACTTCTAACCAGGAATAAGTGAAGCAAGAGTTATCTGACAAGTCCCCAAAAGGAAGAAGGAGGAGCAGGAAACACAGACAGTTCACATTGCTCGCGTCGAGGAAAGCAGTGGTTCCGTATACGTCAATAATAATGATGAGTTTAAGCATAGAACGGAAAGTCATTTGATGAAATTATGAAGTTGCATCGATTTAGATGGTTAGGACATCTGTGTCATGCATTCCGAACTACTACCCCATTTTCGGAAATCAATGTTGGATGACAACATAAAGACAGGATGAAGAAGAACAGTTAAGCGTCGTCATGATGCCTCTCACTTTTGCTTTGAACTAGTGGTATAGGCAGGCAGATGTCATGTCTGGATGGCCGGTAACCTCAACCCCCCCCAATAGGAGGGGGCGGGGGGAGGTGTTGAATTATCACAGATCTCAGGGGCACAGTTGATTCAGGCCAGAGGATACACATCAACTGTTTACAGTGGGGTTAAAATAAATTTCATTACATAATTTAAATCCGACGAAAAAGATTTATGGAGAGAATAAAAACAAGTGGAAAGTGAAAATTAAACACTGCTAAAACTTACTACTATCTATTTTTGTATTGGAAATCTGTTTAATACTTTCTGAAATCTTCAATTCTTCAATCGGTTTACGTAAAATATCAACTGAAATAACAACAACACACAGAAAAATGTTACACTCTACTTATGTAATATGCGTTATATTTTATTAATGTTGTCAACCAGATGTTTTGTCCTTGTCTGAGACTATTCAAAGGTACGCATCCACCACCACATCACCACCGAGGGGATTCGAACCCAGGACCTTCAGGTTACAAGGTAAGCTTGTAGACTGCCATTCAGCCACTAGGATCCGATTCAATGGCCAGCCTTTAACTACTACCAAAATCGGGATTTTAACACGATTGCCACCAGCCATTGTCAATGGAAGTGAGTATTTTGTCCTTGCACCCGACACCTTGGTGAACCTCACTCACTGGTGACGATTTCTCACTGGAACTGCAGGCGACTTCATCCTATAGCCAGCCAATAGCAATTGCTAAGTTGCGCCATCTTTGACGCAGACATGATTGGTTGCATTCTTATTTTTCTGATAGAATGCAGTATACTGCATATAATGACAAATCTTCTTCTGATTTGCTTACAAAAGCCGGTGTTCCTCAAGGTGCCGTCCTCTCTCCTTTTCTTTTTTCTTTCTTCCTACACGACCTGCCTCATTTAAACGAAACTAATTTTGTCAAATATGCGGATGATCTGACTGTATCACTGTCTATCACTTCCGAGTCTGACTGCTCCAAACTTAATAGCTTTCTGTTGGACATCAGCAAGTGGCCCAAGTCAAATGGTCTTATGTTAAATCCTTCCAAATGTCAGGCAGTTAACTTTACTTTCAAGCATCGACGTGACATACATGAACTAGTTAGTTCCCATGATGCCTGTAGCATAGATGGCACTGAAATTGAAACCAAGTCAAGCATTAAATAACTTCGATTAGTTCTTTCCTCTCTGACCTTTCATGGTCATCCCACATCTTATCAATCTCTAAGAAAATGTTTCGTCTACAACCTTCTACATTAAAAAGTTAAGACAATCAGGTATCAACCAACCTTTACTTCTGCAGTTTGTAAACTCCTGTATTTTACCTATTGTACTCTATTGCTCTCCATTAATCTTTCCTGGGCTTCTCAAAAAAGACTATATCATATTACGAAGGGTATTAAATGCTGTGAGTAGGGCTTGTGGTATGCCACTGCGTGAGCTCGCCAATATTATAGTCGAGAGACATAAAATCCTGTACAAAATGGGCAAAGGCCGTACTGTCAGACCCCCTGCACCCCCTTTATTCACAACTATCCCCTTGCATCTCATCAGGTAGGATGAGAAGTCAATATAAGAAGTTATATGCTCACACCACTAAGTACAAAAATCTACAATACCGTATTTAATGTGATGGAGTCACTGTTAGATGTGAAACATATAAGTTACTGTGTAATTAGCAAAGTGAATCGACCCTTTCATCGTTCATCTTTCTGTAATCTTATGGTGTCGACTTTCTATGTTAATTATAACTTTGCTATTTTATTTTAATTGTTATTACTATCATTAAATTTTATACTTTATGCATATTTTTCTCCTTATCGCATACTGTAATTGCTACATAGCTGCTATAACAACGTTTTGTTATTATTATTATTATGTAATGTTTATTTTTTTTGTCGTTTTGAGTAAATTAGATGCAATATTGTACTGAATGCTGAAAATTCCTTGCTGTATCATTAGTACTGTTTTTGGAATAAAGCAAATTATATATATATATATATATATATATATATATCGGTTATCCATCAAAGGACATCTGCACTAAGCAGCAGTTCGCTCCAACATATCATTATGGCTCGTGAAGGTTATAAAGTGGTTAGACATCTTTAACCAATGGTGTCTGTGTTCAATATCTTGTGTTAGGTATCATAACATGACTGAATGACTGACTGAATTGCAATAGAAAACTTTGCACAGAAATGCAGCAGTTCATATTACCACACAAAGATAGAGAAAAGAGACTCAAAAGAACTACAATGAGAAGAAATGTACGTAAGAAAGAGTACGAACGCAGAAAAAACAAAAACGATGACTTAATAGATTTACAAGATTACAAACAGTTACTATAACAACCACATTGAGTCATACCACTAATAGTCTCCAGCTATTGGTTTCTTAGCATCCTGACGACCCGAACGAGGTAGTCTACACCTCCCTACGTGCCTGGCTGAAACTATTAGTCTCACAACCTTTATGGATTGATGAAATGTTTCAATTTCACTACACTATTCATTCATTTTCAACTCAATTCTATGTCAGCTAATCGTTCTCAACGACAAAGCAGTAGCTTAGCATGAGGTTAGTAATAATAAACTTCCGCGTAGAAAGAAAAAAAATCAATGATGTTGTGAAACTGCATCGAATAGGAGGGTTAGGACATTTATCACTCATTTCGAATTACTATCTATCTCGGCAAGTAATGTTGACTGTGAAACATATAACGAGAATGCAGGAAAGTTAAGGCTCGTTGGGGAGAAACCTAGTACAGAGTATAGAGTAGTGTGTGGTTGGCGGCAACCTTGAGACGCCAAATATCACAGTGACTAGAGTCTGTAGATGATACTGCTTCAAAATCGTTCTCAGTGGTACAGATACATTCACTCTTCATAAACTTCATTAAATTCTCATTATCCTTTGTGGAGAAGTTCTGACAAAGTGAGATACATAATATCATACAATATCAACCAATATAATCAAATGGGTGAATGTCATCAAATCCAACTTAGACAGATTTCATTAACATCATTCGAAATTTCATGTATTCCTCTCAAATGATGAATCACTAAAGAGCAGTGAGAACTGTAGCTCATTGGTTAGGCGAGCTCGTCTTTCAATCAATGGGTCGAGGATTCGAAATCCATCGCCTCCATTCGGAACACAAGGCTTCAAGCTATGGAAGTTTCAGTTCTTTTCCAACATAATCTTATGTTAGCTGACATTGCCTGTCGAGGAAGGCAGTGGCTAGTCAGACATGCATAACACATGCTCTAACCATCGTAATCGATTTAGCTTCCTCACAACTTCATAGATTGACTTACCCTCCTAACCTAACTAACACTCGGCGCTGCCTAGCCATTCGCCTTCCTCACCGACGGACAATGTTAGCTGACATAGGGTCAGGTTGGAAAAGAGCTAGCACGTGGTGGTCAAACCAAAACATGGCCTCAGCAGTCAATGAAATCCACAACAGTTAGTTTAAGCCAGCCAGTCACGTAGGAAGGTGTAGACTTCCTGAGTGGTTGGGGTTCTCGGGACGGCAAATACCAATGGCTAGAGACAATTGGTGACATGGCTCAAAATCGTTCTCAATGGCTGGTGCAGATGCATCCACTCCTTGTGACTTATGATTTCAAATGAAACTATATTGTTCTTCGTTATTACTATTCCTTTTGTCTCATATCCCTGTCTACTGTCTCTATTATGCATTTCTTCTACTTTCTTCTCTTGCTTTGTGTGCTACAAGGAGGGAGTGTGGCGACTTGAACTGCAACTTGCACATCGATGTAAAGTTCTATGTCAAAAACAGACACACAGAACACTCGGCGCCTAACCTCAACATATTATTCAGAATATTATGACACCTTAACACGTGAAATAGAATACAAACATCTGTGATCAAAGACAACTAGCCTCCTCATATCTACCACTTCCAACGCCATCTCTCACAGGTATAAAGTAGGACACAGCGAACTGGAGCTGCGCAGTCTGTCTGTTTTCGACATAGAACTTTGCACCGATGTGCAGCAGTTCGAGTAGCCACACTCCCCATGTAGAACACAAAGCAAGAGAAGAAAGTAAAAGAAATGCATAATAGAGACAGTAAGTTGAGGTGTGAGACAAAAGAATAGTAATAACGAAGAACAAAACAGTTTCATTGGAAATCATAAGTCACAAGGAGTGGATGCATCTGCGCCATCATCCAGAACGATTTTGAGCCATATCACCAATTGTCTCCAGCCATTGGTTTTTACCGTCCCGAGGACCCCAACCAGTCAGGAAGTCTACACCTTCCTACGTGGCTTAAACTAACTGTTGTAGATTTCATTGACTGATGCCATGTTTTAGTTTGACCACCACGCTAGCTCTTTTCCAGCCTGACCCTATGTCAGCTAACATTGCCCATTGTCGAGGAAGGCGATGGCTAGACATACGTAACACATGTCCTAACCATCTCAGTCGATGTAATTTCACAGCCTCGTCGATTGATTTCTCCTCTTTACCTAGCACTCGACCAATGCCTAACCTCAATATTGCTCACCTTATTATACCACTTCACACGGTAGATAGAACGCAGGCACCTATGATGAAAGACAGCTAGCCAGCCTTTTCATGTCTTCCACTCTCAATGGCCAGGTCTCACTGCGAGCCATAAAGGAGGACGGAGCGGACTGCTGAGCAGTACACCCGCCCTTTGGTCGATAGTCGGATATCACATCTACTAAGCCAGAGACGGTGTAAACTGGCACATGCGAAACTAGCCCTCTGTATCCGTGCTGAGATTTCGTCAGAGATCAACCCATTGGGGCGGATGGTACTTCCCAGTACAGTACACACGTCCTTTATTGGATACCCAGATATATCACGTCTACGCCAGGGATGACATAAACCTTTTGTATCCATACTGAGATTTCGTCCACAAGAAAACAAAACACACTGCTACTGAAACTTCAAAGCATCAGCTCGAAACCCAATGTGTTCCACACATTTGGAAGACACGCAAAAGACATTAAAAAAACCAAAACAACAAGAAAAGCAAGAATTATAAAACTCGGTGGTGGTCTATTTAAATTACATGCATACACCAACACACACTTACAGTCACAGAATTCTTCATTCCCTTTAAGAAGTGGATTACCCTTCAACAGTATACCTGATGGTAAATAGCTGCTATTGGTCAGTTTACTGGAATGTTGTTGTTTAATTTGAATTGGTGACTTCAAATCCTCCTCCTCTTCGTCTTCATCATCAACATCGACATTTTCATCGTCAACTTCACCTTCATCCTCGACATCATGAGTTTTCTCTTCTTCACAACCCTCATCATCACTCATAGGATCACTGCCACTACTACTGCGACGATGACGAAGACTCCTATGATGATTCACTTTCGAGGTTGTTTCAAGATCATCACCATCATCATTCCCTGTTGCCTCCTCGTCATCATTGTCGTCGTTTTTAACACACAAATTAATCTGTCTGAAAGACTTTGAAGTGAATCGATGCAGAGTACTGGCGGCTGGTTGGTCACTTTGTTCGCTTTGCTCCCCCCTACCATCACCATCGACTTCCATATCATCAGGATCTAGCCATAAATCAGATAGACTGCAGGATGAAACACCACCGCCAACACTATTTCGCTCAGTGATAAGGATATCAGAAGATGGTTGAATTGGAAGCAGTGTAAACGGGGATTGATTATCTAACTGTTTTCGTTGTTTTTGCTGTTGTTGATCATCATCAACTTCATCACCTTCATCATCACCATCACCAACGTCATCGTCATTGTCATCATCATTGTCACCGTTGTTCTCGACACCAGTACTTTTGGCTCTGTTGGTGCTACTGCTATGCTGCCTCTGATATCACCATTTAAATCGGATAATTTATGCTGCATTAGATTTAATGAAGATATTGGTGCGAGAACAAATGGGGTTCTTTTTTTCGTTTTTTTTCGAGAATTGATGTTACGTAAACAGCGTTGGTGGGGGTGGGGGAATGAGAAAAAAATAAGAGAGAAGAATTTGTATAAAATCGATCAATTATTTCATAAAAAAATTAAATTTCTAATACAATTTATATGTTTGATGTCACAGAAAATCGAAGACTTACAAGCGAAAACCGACAAACTGGTCGAAGAAGCTGCAAAGACAGGACTCCAGGTGAACATAGACAAGACGGAGGTTATGAAAATAACCAACCAACAACAACAACAACATCCATCGCCACCATCAACGGGAGGGATTTGAAAGAGGTTACTTCTTTCACTTATCTAGGGAGCATTGTCTCAACTACAGGAGGAACGGACGAGGATGTCAAATCGAGAATCGGGAAGGCGAGAAACACATTCATCAACCTGAAACCAATCTGGAAATCTTCGTCACTCACTCAGCATCAACAACAAAATTCGGATTTTCAATACAAACGTCAAGTCAGTCAGTTCTTCTATACGGATCAGAAACTTGGCGAGTGGGTCACAAAGAATATTTCCAACAGCCTGTTGCAGACCTTTATCAACAACAACTGTCTTCGCTCTATACTGAAGATCAGATGGCCGGAAAGAATCACCAACAAGAAACTATGGGAACAAACAAAACAAGAACCAATCGCTCAACAAATATGCAGGAGAAAGTGGAGATGGATTGGACACTCGCTGAGGAGGCCGCTGGGTGACATCGCGCGTCAGGCCATAGCTCGAGTGGAACCCGAAAGGGAAGCGGCGAGTGGGACGTCCAAGGGTGACATGGAGGAGATCGTGTGAAGAGAAGTTGAAACAGTATGGACTAACATGGATGCAGGTGAAAAGTACAGCAGAAGACAGAAGCAAGTGGAGACGTGTAGTTGAAGCCCTATGTTCCACTAGGAACCCAAGGGAACAATAATAATAATGATACAATTTAGATAGGTTCGTTTATTATCAGCGTATTTCCGAAGATCATTTTACATAGTGGTTAAACAAGAGACACAAATAAGATCTATTCATAGCTCTGTTTTATTACCATACCTCTTGTAGATAGTGAGAGCACATAAAGTTGATGTTTAATGTAACGACAGAAGACAAAGGCCAGGCAACAGATCGTTTATTGAGAAAATCAAGAGGTATTTATAGATTTTTATGTACATTATTATTAGCGTTATTGTTAGCGGAAAAGCAACCTCTTCTGATTGGTTATTTTCTTGCTCAAGGTTATTCTACACTGCTTGTGACCGTTTCTTAAAAAGTTAAGCCATATATCTGCGAATCGTATTTGCACGCTTTAACTCCGCTGTGATTGGCTGGTGATTTTCTCAAGGTTAACTTTGTTATTGTTATCGAGTGCAATCGCCAGACACTTAATTGACACAGGACACACAGTAGAAATTAGCCAAGCCTTCAAAATAATCAATACGCAAAGAAACCCATGGCTACTTCGTTTCGCAGAAGCCATTGCTATCAAGAGACTTCGACCAGACCTCTGTATACAAAAAGATAGTGTGACTAATCTTTCACTACCCTGGTAACACTAATTCTATTTTATTTTATTTTTGTTTGCCTTTTTGTCAGTATGCCTGTGTGTTTGTCTTCAATTTTGACTTTCAAGTTTCTAAATCCACTTAATTGTCTGTTTAAGTTTTAAAAAAATGTTACTTCACTATTCACCCCCACCCTCTTAAACTCTCCACCACAAGATGTGTAAATTCACTCTGTTCTCTGACCCTGACCCTGTAATATGCCTCTAACCAATCTGTGTTTTTCCAATAGAAATCTGAACTCTAACCCCTCTTATCTAATTCTACTATATATAATTAGTTGTTTTTTTGACACTGAATAATCTGTCTACCTACATCAAATTCTGGAATTATGTTCCTTATACCTTCTATCTATAACTCCAAGTAATTATGAAAAAGCATGTTCCAAAACCTTTTTTTGAAACTTATAATTTGATTTTGTTTAGGATGTATGCAGTTGATGAGTATCCACGAAATAAAACGAGCTCGTATTATCCTGCAAACATGTTCGTTCTTTCTCTCTTCAAACTTTGTTATTGTTTTTTCACATGACCCCGATTCAGGACGTGAACATTGACGTAAATTGCTGTCTACAATTTCGGCTAGCAGCCAGCTCTCACCACAATCAGACTACCATCTATAATCGACTGGTCTGACTAACCTGTGTACAGTTGACTACACAATTATTGCAAGGTACTTATAAGGAACAATTTAATTTTGTCTAATTGGGTTAATAGGATCTGTAGTTTGACCTACACAGCTTGTAGGTATAAATACTGCCCTAGTTCCAACTTTATTAACAATACGCTACTTGGGAGTTTCATATGTCCCCTCCTCATTTGACAAGATTGTAGATGCTTTATATTCTTTCTTATTTATGTTATCAATGCTAGTTTCACCGTTATTTTTATATTTCTTGTGGCCTTTTTTGATTTTCCTAATGCATTTTATAAGAGGGATGGTTATTTAACACCACCGCTTCTCCTTCTATCTGTTTCATTTCATCATTCAGGGTTTTCTGATGTACTAATTAAACTTACTTGCTCGGTTTGTTAGACATTTACTTAGGTTCGCCTTTTCAGATAACCGATGACATGAATAAAAGTTTAAATATCTATTCAAAATATATTAGAGTGAGTTAGCTTTTTGTAAACACTAGTGTATAGTTGACCTCCTGTTCGTTTTATTAAACTACTACAGTGCTCAGCACTAGTTCTATTATTATTATTATTCCCTTGGGTTCCGAGTAGAATATAGGGCTTCAACAACACATTTCCAATTTCTTCTATTAGGCTTCAGTAATACAAAAAAGAGAAGAAAGCGTATTGCACTTTGGTAGGCTATTCTCCACTTTGCACATAGATCACTTCAAAGGAGGAGTCGTTTGTTGACATGGAATGACCAGTGTTGACGAGATGTTCGATTATCACACTGTGTTTTGTTTACATACAAATATAACTAACATCATTACTTCAAAAGTCACAGTGTACTTATTGCTCAACAATCATTCGCAATTCCGTGCAGCTAACGGCAATGAACTTCACCTATTGTGTGTATGTGTGTGGGAGGGGGGCTGATTATACTACCCGAGGTTGCCCAAACCTTTCCGTTTGAACCGTGTTCCCAACGCGTGACTCACCGCTGAGAATTTGAGCTCCCAGACCTTACTTACTTTACTTCGGCTATCTCCTACAGGAGGATGAGCCGGCTTCATGAACATCTCGAATCATCGCTGCCCAGGCGCGGCGATCTGATGCAAGGTTTTGCGACAGGGTTATCCAATTCTTGTTTCACAGACGGAGTCCGTAGACGGTTTGTAGCCCCAGGCACTCCATATCAGCCTTGACTGTACCAAGCTGTCCACCCCTGCAACCGAGAACGCCGTAGCATGGTGAGAATCGTTTGTAAGAGAGTTCATGAAGTTTCATGGGAATTTGGTACGAGTGATGTCCCCAGAATCGCTCGGCCTTTTGTTTTAGAGTGCAGCTCTAGCCTTTTCACAACCAAGTGTGACCTACAAGGCAGTAGGAGTGGAGTAAGGAGTCCACTATCCATTGGCAGCCGGTTCATACGCCATTTTGAATGGGGCCAGACATCCAGGACATCCAACAAGACCTTTGTCCATACGTCTGCCAGTGAGCTCCAGTGAGCTTCATACGCCAGTCGTTGGAGGTTTGGAATCAGGGTTTAGCCATCTCCCTTAGACTGTCATCCAATGGACAGTCAACCCGGTGAAGAGCGCCGGGCATCCGCTTTCGCCCTCTCACTTTGGTGAAAAACACCTCCGCCACGTGAAGGCAGTGAGTAGGACTTCCTCAGGAGAGGCTATGTAAGACGCCCGGTGGTGGTGGCCAACCCGCAGCGCAAGGCACCCACCGCCGACCATCCTGAGGCTTTGGAGGCCAACCAACCATTGCTTTACACTCTCCAAAGAAAATCACAGTGAGTTATCGCTTCAAACTGTCTGAAGCTGGTATATAACGAATCTAATTCTAAGCATATTGCCAGTTCGCTCGGAGTGGTTTCAGCTAGTTTTCACCACTTTCTCAGCTGACTGACTGATGTTGAGTGCAACGGTGATGAATTCCAACTTTAGAAAACAAGTGGAATTGATTATCCAGAGTTTAGATTTTCTTTTAAATGTGGCTAGCGCGCATACACATACACACCAGTGTTCGACGTAAATCACTTGGAAATAAAAGTGGCACGACTATTGTACACAAATGCTAAGCGAATATAATCACTTAGGTGGACATATATCTGTGGAGGACAATCGATATTCTTCACTCAATAATAATAATAATGGCAGACTAGCCCTCTTTTTCTTGAAGCATCACGCATAGGATAGATAATGAAGGTATGAAAGGCTAACACATATCTAAGCAACAGATTCCCTTCCCCAGTAAACCTTAAATGCCACTCCACCACCTACCTCATACACACTAATACTGCGAATATAGCATTATCAATACGAATCGAGAAGTCATTATGTCTAATCTTATAGATAAGATCCTAAATTTACTACTGACATCAGTAGATTGCACACCAACTGTTAAGCCAAAAGAGGACTTCTGGAGGAATTCGAAGCTATCACGAACCTGGTCAGTTTGCAGAAGCAGAAAGCCAAGCTGATCATCTCGACCAACCTATATTGACAGTTCGAGCAAAATCTGTCTACAACAGTTCATGTTAAGCTCGACTGAAGTTGTTGAAAGGCCAGTTTCGGAGCTCCACAACACAGAGGACTAAGACTTGATGCAGATGGAGACCTATGAGGTTTTAGCAGCAATGCTGACATATACCTAGCAAAACGCATAATCGACCTTAGACACAGATTCAAAAGTGCCGGTACAAGCTTTTCAGTTCACGGAATGCATTCCTACTACTATTATTATTATTATTATCACCCATCAGCTGCAGTTAGCGAAATGCGTAGCTACCCCCGCCCCACCCAATATTGAGGGAACGAATGACAGATCACTGCAGGGTGAAGCAGCCTAACGAATGTTCCTCTTGTTGCTGGCTAAAGATAGCACGATATTATCAGAGAAAAATTGTACAAAAAAGAAGACGTTGCTCAACATACTACTTATTTCTGCTTATAAGTAGAACACATCAAAAATAGAGAAATAATTCACATAAAGGTGGAAAAAACAAACAAATAATTGAATTGAGCAAATTACTTGGATAGATTTAAACCGCCAGCAGCCAAACTGAGTAACTATAAAAATCAAATAGAGAGAAAATAAAATGTAAAGGAAACATGAATATACACATATAGAGGGGAAAAATTAAGATAACAGCAATAATCTAACAACCGTATATGCATGAATGAAGGAACATTATGAGATAGATAAATATGCACATAGAAGTATGTGGGTGGCGATTATTTTTCCCCGGTTGTCCACGAACGGACACACACACACTAGAAGTTAATTTCTTCCCTAAATTACTTGAAACAGAAAGTGTAGTAGTGTGTTGCATGACTGTTGAGCCCATGAGACAATTGCTTGTGACTGATCATACACAACAGGGCTTGTTTGAAGTGGATTTAAGATTTGCGTCCGTATGAGGAGTTAACACCGGCTAAGAACAGTTTCAAGGTAGTAAGTCGGGATGTAAAATGTTTCCGGTCATTCATTTCTAAACCACCACCACCACCCCCTATCTTCCCTCAATTCAGAGTGGAAAGGTACAATACCTGACTTGATGGTTGTCTGGCGTGAACACCTACCACCTTACTGCTAATTACATCCTTCATCAACCACAGGTCGGAATTCTCTCTCAGACCTCTCTAACATAGCGTAAACAGAAGTCAATCGGTGGATGGTGACTAGCCGTGGAATACAGGATAACGCGCATTTCATCCTATTTGGGACTGCTCATCAGCGGGATGTACCTGCAATCCCCGGTGAGTGACGGTGTTCCCAACGACGCTTGAACCCAATGCCCATAGTTTCAAACGCCAAGGCATTATCTTCTAGAATTGACCCGTTGCACAAGAGATGGCTCTCATGGCCCAAGTGGTCTAGTGGGTAACACCAAATTCGTCAATGATTGAGAATCTTAGCCATCAAATTACCCCCCGGACTCGAACACAGGGAGTTATGAAGTATCAATGCATGCTAAGCTGAAAAAAATACCCTTCATCTTATGGCATCGCATCATAAACTCACCACTCTCTGGTTTTTCTAACCAGTTCAAGATCTAGCTAACAGCCAGCGGCATGGAAGCCTCTAGGATGACATTCATAGTACATGTCCAAGCTACTGAAACCATAATCAATAAGAGTGGTAACCTCCACACTGTGTTCAAACACACGCAGCTGAACATCAGAATTGCCTACACAATGATGCAATTGGGCACAAGCTATTCTACGGAGGTGGCGATGATCGAATGCCCAGAGTTGCCACACATCCTAAGCTAGGAGAGGTCAAGTTTCACAGGCGCAAAACAAGACTGCAAGCACCGAAGCACTGAAGTACCCAAACTTTCATAGCCAGGTTGACATCGCAACGGCGCTAAAGGTGGTTCAAATTGGCGTATGCCACCCTAGCTTTCACTCACTCCACAGTTAGAAATTCCATCTGTCACACTATGATTGTAGCTACCTTCATCAGGACAACTATTCTGGCATGGTAGGATCTGTAGGAACATGCAATCTGGCCAGTGTAGTAGGTGGCTAGGTCATTATGATACGCAGTAATGATCACTGCTGCAAAGTATCGACTATGGAAACGTGATACATTAAAACATTTCACGTAGCCAATTAAATTAGATCATTAGACACACATTCACAAAGACACGACTGTTCTCATACCACACATTATGCAATCATGCGTATTTTAAGATATACTAATATATACACACACACACGCATATATGTGTGACATTGATATTGGCCAGCAACAACATACAATCAACAAACGTGACTATTGTGAATGACTTTCAACCACTTGTTACATTTAAATTACTTAATGTATGCATATGTCAAAAGTTCAAGGTCATCATAATACTTATAAATAATCTATTATGAAATTGTAATTAATCATCACATGTAGCCAGCCAGCCAACAAACAACAATAAATAACTAACGATAATAATACCATATACTTCGAGAAATAGTGACTAGCGATGGAATTAATGATCCGCCTTTGGTTCGTTTGTTTAGAACTCAACTGGCTAGTTGTTGCATCTGCTATTCCAGTGAGTAGTGACTGTATATGGGGGTTTTGAAGACTTGGCAAGCATGGTAATATGGCCATGTTTGGCTGTGAAGGGAATGCCGAAGAAATACATTGCACTGATCAAGGCACACAATCTACTCAAATTCATGCAGCCAGTCAGCCAGGTGAGAGCTTACGGTGAGTTGTCATCTGAAGTGGTGACAACTAGTGGTGTCCGTCAAGGATGCCACCCCATTGTCCCCATTTCTCTTCAATTTCATCATGGATACTCAACTAATCGACTTAACCCTAACTGACTTCAGCGACTCAGGGATTGACCTGTTTCCAGGAAATAATCTCGTTGACTTAGAATATGCAGATGATATAGCCCTCCATCCCAGGTGAAGTGAAGACGCTGACAGAATAGAGGAGAGTCTTTTGAATACCTTGAAAAGCAGTAATCTTCGAATCTCTGGCATGAGATTCGCTACTGCTGTCAAATGTAAGATGGTGCTACAGGACTGGACTACATTGACTCACTCCTAGCTTAGAAATAGGAAGTGAAGTGGTAGAGCGTGTTGACCACTTACTTCACTTATTTGGGAAGTTGCATCAGCCAGCGCCAACGGGCCGATCGCTGACGAAATCTCAGCACGGATACAGAAGGCTAGTTTCGCATATGCCAGGTAAAACAGTCTCTGGTGTAAACGCGATATCCGGCTGGCTATTGACCAAAAGGCGTATGTACTCCTCAACAGTCTGCTCCGTCCTGCTTTATAGCTGTGAGTGGGACATGGCCATTGAAAGTGGAAGACATGAAAAAAGCTAGCTGTATTTGATCATAGGTGTACACGTTCTATCTCCCATGTGAAGTGGTATACTAAGCTGAGCACAGTATTGAGGTAAGGCTTCGCTCGAGTGCTAGGTAAGCAGGTAAAATCAATAGACGAGGTTGAGAAGTCACACCAATTGAGTGAGATGGTTAGGAAATGTGTTGCGCATGTCTAGCCTAGCCATCGATCACCTTCCTCGACAATGGGCAATGATAGCTGACATAGGGTCAGGTTGGAAAAGAGCCAGTGATGGTCAAACCAAAACATGGGTTTATCAGTCAATGAAATCCACAACACTTAGTTTAGGCTACGCGGGGAGGTCCTCGGGACGGTAAAAATCAATGAAAGCTGGAGACAATTGGTGAGGTGGCTCAAAATCGTTGTTGTCAAAGGCTGGAGCAGATGCATCCACTCCTTGTTACTTATAATATCCATTAAAACTATGTGGTTCCACCATATTACTACTGTTCTTTTTGCCTCATATCTCCGATTACTGTCTCTGTTTCGCACCTCTTTTTACTCTCTTCCCTTGCTTTGTGTGCTGAGTGAAGTGTGGTGATTCGAACTGCTGCAAATCGGTGCAGAGTTCTATGTTGAAACCAGTCAGTCAGTCAGTCGGCAAGCATGCATCACAAAAAACCAGTCCTCCAACAACTGTTCCCTTCACTGACCAACAACAAGGAGCGTTGACGGCGAATCAACTAAGAACGCATAGCCGAACACATTTGCCAAACAAAGTGAAGATAGATAGGACAAACTCTAGGGAAATCGTTGAATGGTATAACACGACAGATTTTCAAATGGAACCCGAATGGAAGACAACGAGTTGAGCATTGGTCGGAAGGTGGTGACTACTCAGAGGAGAAGATAAAAGCTTATTGGGCTATTGTGAAACCGCCAGCTAAGTGGGGGTGAGTGGGGGGAGAGGGCGAACTGCAGAGAACAGGATGATGAAATGAAGAGATGGATTGTTGAAGCTTTAGAATAATAACAATACTGCATGACCATTTTAGCATCAAATGAACAATTGTCCAGTTTGTTTAAATCACCATTTCGACAAGGTGGTGACACACACACACACTCACTCACACACAGGACGCCAAACAATTTCAACCAAAAACAACAAAAAATTCACATTCATCAGTTTAAATGAGTTTAGAGACAATGATCCATACACCAATGTTTGCACAGATCATCTTCCAAAGAACAATAATACATAATAATAATATTCAAGAGTTGATTTGATATCAGCTGGAGAACCATTGAAAACCAGCAAGGAGTACTGGACAACCAGCTGTTTCGTCAGCCTAGTTTGGGACTCCATTTCGGCAGTAGGCATTCAATGCTTTTCTAACTAGAGGTATCAATCCGTGGTCTAACCGGAAACAAATAGTATCCCTACAGAAACCAATTCTTCAAAATTAATCTGATGCTCGTTAGTGACTGACTGGCTATAGGACGAAGTTGTCTGAAGTGAATTCCAGTGAGAAGTCATGACCAGTCGGGAGTGAGGATGGAATTCCCACCGATGACATTGGTTGGTGCCAGTCGCGCTAAATGCATCACGAATCGGTAGACGTTAGAATTCATGGACTGGCCATTGAATCGGGTCCCATTGGCTGAATGGTCTACTAGCTTGACTTGCAACCGGAAGATCCTGGGTTCAAATCCTGAAAGTGAGTACGTACTGCCGATGAGTCCCAAACTAGGACGAAACAGTTGGCTGTCCAGTACTCCTTGCTGGTTTTCAATGGTTTTCTAACTGATATGAATCCGTGGTCAAACTCGAAAAAAAGTAATAAATAAATAAAAAATTTAAAGGAGAAGGGGAGGGCGACTTACATCTGATGAATTCGAGAGCAATTTATTTAAATTATATTGTGTAATTAATCGGAGCAGGCCTCCCTCTTGACTGATAGAGCTACTTTCGCTTAAATCCTATAAGAGTAAAGAAAAAAATTATTAACATTATTATTATTATTATTATTATTCAACACACAAATTTGGAACATTATGGGCCTTTTGTTGCCCAAACACACAAAATTGTCTGACATTAGATGGCTGGAGGCAATCGACTACAGGAAGCCTTACCTGACCTAGGTTTCGTGCTTGTTGTTGACATTCACTAATCAGAAAGGCGTATCTGCAACTACCTTGAAGGAACAATTCATGTCCCTTCTGAGATTCGAACTCGCTATCAGAGACATGACCACCACTGAGCTATTCGGGCTCACGATTTACCTCCTGTAGGACTGTATTGGATACTTTGATTGGACACTAGTAAATAACTAACTAACTAGTGTGATGTGCCTAGTCCTTTCTTTGGCGCAGACTGAATTCTATCAGTCCAGTTTGCAATGTGGCCAGCATTCTAGTTGGCTCGGCATCACGATGCACTGCACTTTGAATTGTTGATATTAGATGGGTGGAGACAATTGGCAGGAAGCCGACGAGTGCCAACTAGCACGAAAGCTAAATCCAAGGCTTCCTTCTGATTGCCTCTATTTATCGTGATGCCGAGCCACCTAGAATGCTGGCCACATTGCAAACTTGACTGACTGATAGAATTCAGTCTGCACCACACAAAGGACTAGACACACTACACTAGTCACTGACTAGTGTCCAATCAAAATAAATTGTTTGACATTTTGTGCGAGGGAAGAGATACTGCCCGGGTGCTCCGACCGTCTTACGGAGGACCAACACCCCTCCGTCGAGCTCTTGACTTTAAGCCTGATCTCCACAAGGAAAGGGAACAATGTTAGGAACTACTGCATTATTCCCATGGTTCCGGGTTACCAAAACAGCTTCATATGTCATTCAATCCTTTTGGATTCTAGAGATTATGCAAGCAGGTTTTCGGAACTTCTCTAGGCAGACTTGCGTATCCATCAGTTCGATGCTTTTAATTACGAGACGTTCAAATTCACGTTAAAAGGAGACACTCATCAACTGGGTCGGATTCCAATGATCTGTAATCAATTCAAACTTACGTTAATCTAGGATATTATTGTAGCGCGTGCTACTGATAAGAGTTATCAGTAGTATATATAAAGAGTTTTCGTCGACATAAAAAACATCAAACAGCAGGGAGATATAGATTTGATATCAGAGAAAGTAAATGATACAGGATTGCGCAGATACACGAGAGACACGTCAAAGTAACACAGAGAGACACAATAATATGAAAGCAGGCTAGATGTAGCACAAAACGGAAGATTTGTGCAAACAGTGCGTCCGTTGAAGATAAGGTGTACATAATTTCGCTATACAAAGATAAACATTTTTTTACCAAGTCTTTCATCTTCTACCATTACAATTATGACACTGCTCTGCTCGCCACACTGTTCCCCTGGTTTTCACATCAGTTGTTCAACTCACATATCCGGTGATCAGGAAATCTACAATGACCTCAATAATTCCTCTTTTTTAGTAACTTTTGATAGTAGTTTTTATTTACTAATATTTCATAGGTAGTTATCAAATGTTTTAAAAATTCAACAAGTAGGATTTTACGAAAAGGCGATTCAATACCCCCTTCCATACTTCATCATGGATATATATAGGAGATTACAAAGAATGGAATGTTTGCGCACCATTGGGAACGATAACTGAGTCAAATCGACAAAAGTGTTCTTTAACCACCATTAGTCGTTAGCCTATTGGAGACCTCATATAACCCCCCTCCCTTTAGAGTCGGCAGTTTACAACCCTTCCATAGGTGATTCCTTTGGACCAACAATGACAGGCTTAATGGATTGACTCCACTTTTTGTTTTGACAAATATAACTCTTTTCCAGTCACAATATCACTCACTATATTGTGTGTGCCACACTTAACTCAGGAGATACAAAGCGATCATCTGTAGTCGAAGACGACTAGTCTCGGTTAGGTCTTACAAAGCTCAATAGGCATGTGTCCCACACAACCATAGAGAAGAAAATCACACAATGAAATCATAACTGAAAATAATGAAAGCTTAACTGAGTGTGACATTCATCCAACCAAAACTTGCATGAAACACAGAGAATTTCTAGAACAAATAGATTTCAAACCCAATGTGATATGCACTCCTTGAAGCCACATGATGATCCTAGATCAACCTCTAGTGAAATCGTAAGTACACACTACTACCGAATTACGATGATTAGATAAATTAATAACTAAATGACATCAGTTAGAGAACCATTGAAAACCAGGTGGAGAAACATTTCGTCCTAGTCTGGGACTCTTCAACGGCAGTGGTGGTATGGACACAATCTTCAGGTGGTTACAGTGTAAGCAGTTATCATCCAAGGGGTTATTGAAGTGCGTCTTCTCTGTAACTCACTTCCCCGATGGCACCATGAATGCCTATTTCTGAAGAGTTCCAAACATGGACGAAACAACTTCTTAGTTCTCAACAATTATAATATATTGATAAAGGAGGTTTATATATAGAATAAAATGAATCAATAGAATGATTTACTGACAAGTATATACTTGTATGTATGCATGTATGTAAGTAGACAACATACCTCAACAACTTGCATTGAATTAATCACGCTAAGATCTTCTTTTACAAATTCTGACCAAGCATCTTTGACTTTTGAATCTAAATCTAAGTAAACAGAGACAAAGAGAATAGAAAAAGGTTAGTTGAAGTGTAATGATGATGATGATAATAATTTTGATTGGACACTAGTTAGTACAATCTGAGAATGTTTGACATGCGATTCGCTCCCGCCAAATGTAAGATGATCCGGCTACAGGACTGGACTAAATTGACTCACTCCTAGCTTGAAGATAGGGTGGGAGTGAAGTGGTTGGTGGAGCGTGTTGACTACTTCACTTATTTCGGAAGTTGCGTCAGACAGCGCCAACGGCTTGATCGTTGATGAAATCTCACCATGACTACAGAAGGCTCCTCACAAACAGTCTAAGTTCAAGTCAAAGAAACAATCAGTTCCAATACAAGTAGCCTAGAAGGTGTGAAAACGCACAAAAACAACCAATCACGTCCAAGGTCACCGGGAGAGACTATTAATAAACTTGTGGAGAAATCTAAAAGCTCACTTCAATTCAAATTGAAGTATGCGCTGAAGATGTCACCTAGTAGGGTGATGAAAGCTTCGCAAATTAACTATCCAGCTCAGAGAACACAACCACATCAAAATATCTAGTCCTTTGTTTGGCGCCTATTGCCGCCAATCATCCAAATCAACAATTCAAAGTGCGGAGCATCGTGATGCCAAGACAACTATAGCACGGTGGTCACATTGCACACCTGAATGATAGAACTCAGTCTGTACCAAATAAAGGACTAGATACACTACACTAGTCACTGACTAGTGTCCAATCAGAGTATCCAATATGGGCCTACAGGAGTTGAATCGTAAGCCGAATAGCTCAGTGGTGGTCATGTCTCTGACTGCAGGTGTAACAACAGAAAACAAGGGCCAGGCAACAGATCGTTTATTAAGGAAATCAACACATATTTATAGCTTTTCATGTACATTATTATAGATTATTGTTAGCAGAAAAACACAGTCTTCTGATTGGTGGTTTCTCGCTGAACGTTAATCTTTCATCTCTTTGTGGCTGTTTCTTGAATGTCAGATCATCTATATGCTAATTGTATACGCCTACGCAAAGTCTGTTGTGGTTGGTTGTTGAATCAGTCTTTGTTCATATTTTTCTCATGACCAATATTGAGGACGTAAACATTGACGTAAATTACCATCTACCAATTTGGCTAGCAGCCAGCTCTCACCACACAGGCAGCACTGGGTGGTGCGAGTTCGAATCTCAGAAGGAACAAGAGTACCTTCAAAATGGTTGCAGATACGCCTTTCTGACTGGTGAGTGCCAACAACTAGCACGAAACTTAGGTCAGGCAAGGCTTCCTGTTGTCGATTGTCTCCAACCATCTAATATCACCGATGATATTTTTGATTGTGATGGATTGGATCATGCGACAGGTCACGAGAAGACAGAGATACGTTAAGCCGACGACTCTAGGAGATATGAAATTCGTGGATAACTTAATGTCTAAATGTCACAACACACAGACTCAAAGATCTACCTGGCAAAAACCAACAATTCGACAGAAGAGGCTGGCTGGCAGTGAAGACAACAATTCACAAATGAACATAGAGAGAAGATGGAGTTGGTGAAGATACCTAACCAATAGAGCCTCTATTACTTATCTATTATTATTACTGTTCCCTTGGGTTCCGAGTGGAACATAGGGCTTCAGCTACACATCTGCACTTTGGTCCACGATTGACCAAACTCTCTCATCTCATCCTCACACGATCTTCTCCATGGACCCTTGGATGACTCAGTCGTCGTTTCACATTCAGGTTCCACTCAACCGATAGCTTGGCGCGCGATGTCATTCGACGGTTTCCTGAGTGTATACCCAGTCCATCTCCATTTTCCCCTAAACATTTGTTGAGCGATCGGCTGTTGGTTGGTTGGTTTGTTCATCACCAGAGTTTCTTGTTGCTAATTCTTTCTCGACGACTGGCCATTTGATCTTCAGTATGGAGCCAGAGAAGCAGGCAGCTGTTGATAAAAGTCTGCAACCTGTTGGAAATCCTTTTCTTTACATGTTGGCTAAGTTTCTGATCCGTATAGAAGGACCAATTTGATATTGGTGTTGAAAATCAGGATCTTGTTCCTTAAATGAGTGCAGATTTCCCAACTGGTTTCAGGTTGATGAAGGCGGCATCATTTCAACTACAGGCGCAAGAGATAAAGATTTCAAAAAGCCAGCTACGGTTGGAAAAGCAAGACAAACCTTCATTCCTCAGGAACCAGTGCAGAAATCTACTGCTGTCAAAGCATCAGAAACAATATTCGGATTTTCAAAACTAATGTCAAATCCGTCAGTTCTTCTATGCAGCTCTCACAGATTTGATGTGTCAACGAAATCAATTCCAACCCCGGTGGGTGCGTACTGATGAAGAGTCCCAAACTAGGACGAAACAACTGCCAGTACTCCACAGGTTTTCCAATGGTTCTCTAACCAATGTCAGCTCATGATGAAATCCTGTAACCAATCAATCAAATCCCTACAAACCAATACTTGAATATCAATGAGATGCTCAGGTAGGTAGTTACCTGGGGTTCTAGTGGGAAGTCGTTACCAGTAGGATGCAGCAGGTCGGGTGTGAGGACAAATACTCGCCGAAGACGCTGGCTAGCGGTTGCGCTATGTCGTGAATTGGCAGAAGTTAGAATTCATGGGCCATTGGATCGGGTCCCAGTGGCTTAATGGTCTATAAGCTCGCTAGCCTTGTAACCAGAAGGTCCTGGGTTTCGAACCCCGGTGAGTGCGTACTGATGAAGAGTCCCAAACTAGGACGAAACAGCTGTCCAGTACTCCCTGGTGGGTTTTCCAATGGTTCTCTAACCAATGTCAGCTCATGATGAAATCCTGTAACGAAACCACTACCTTTGTTGGCTCGATACCGAAGATCAGGTGGTCGGTCGGTCAGAAAGGATAAGCTGAGAACGAACCATTCGAGAACATATGGCTCAACAAGTAAGCTGAAGAAAATGGAGGTGGATCAGACACCTGTTGAGGAGACCGTTCAGTAACATTGTGAATTAGGCAGACCCTAATGAAATGGAACCCGAATAGGAAACGACAGGTTGAGCGTCAATCCGAGGATGATATGGAGGAGATCGTGTGAGGAGATGACAGTCTATAGGCAATCGCAGAGCCAGCTAAAGAAGATTTCAGATAACAGGATGAAATGGAGATGTGCTTTCTAAGCCCTATATTTCCCTGGGAAACCAAGGTAATGATAATCTACACCTGACAGCTAGACACCTTACCCAATCAGTCCTCCTGCACGAAATCAATTATCTCCAGCAGAAATCAGATTTCGTCGACAGATCAAAACTAATTATAAGCGCCTAAGCGGATAAAACAACAACAGGTTTACAGGAATATGAACATACAAAATCCGGTTTAATCGTTAATCATCGTGCCAAACGTCTTTGTTGGCGTCAAACTGCACACCAACCGTTTATTGTGTATGACGCATTTCGTTATCTGCCTCTCCAAGACTGAAAATTGGACATATAGTTCCTCTTCTCAACAAAGTCCTGAGTGGAATACAAGGAGGACTTCAAGCTTCTAGCTTTCAAGTTACAGTAGCAGGGGGTACACTTTTAAAAGAGGGGTGAGGTTGATAGCCTCAAACGCCCAACCTTCTCTCTTTCCCAGGAGAGCTTACTGCCAGTCAGCTAGACGGGATTTAGGTATTCGTCGGTGGCGGGTAATCGAACCCCGAAGAAGAACCACATACGGAATGGTTGGCGAGAACTGTACCACAACTGAACCACCAACGTAGTGACCACTATGTTCGCCTAAATAGAGTGGATCTACTCACTCACACACAGACACAAACAAAAATAACAAAGAATGAGAAGAACTGTTCGATTTTTACTACAAAACAAAAAAGACATACCTTGAAAGATGCTTTTTACAAATTCTCCTCTTGAACCATTATTACTATTATTATTCATAGCTGAATCAATCAGATTGGCTATCTGCCAGATATGTCCAGCATAACCAGGTTTTGGTTTGCTTTTAGATAATCGGACTAAAGAAGAATTCGGTGAATAAGGAACACTTGGCCTAGATTTCAATGACAAAATAAAAAAAAAGAGAAAACACATGCAGGAGATAAGAATCAGTATAAAAGATTGAATGACAGCTATTTCGTCCTGATTTGGGACTCCTCATCACTACGCACCCACTGTGTCAGGGTTCGAACCCAAGACCATCTGATTACAAAGTGAAGCTTGTTGACAGCCGATCAAATGACTGACAACCAGTGGGGTCCACCAGGTTGACAGTGAGGACAAATGCTCACTGTCATGGTATTGGCTGATGGAATTCATGGGCTGACCATTGAATCGAAGGCCATTGGTTGAATGGTCATGGGAACGTACCGCTGAGGAGTCCCAAACTGGGATGAAACAGCTGTTTGGCACTGTACTACTGGTTTTTAATGGATCTCTAACTGAGTTATCAAACCAAGCCTACAAACTCACCTTTGAAGGATATAACAAAAATGAATTGATACTTGTATATGTGCATGGAATCACACACACACACAACGTTGTTATGATGAGTAGGGATAAAATTGCCAAGATTGGCATTGTAATCAATCATATTGACTTTGAACTGCTCCATTTAGCAGAAAAGACAATGACACAAACATGACAATCATACACAGACACACTTGTTCCGACAGATGGCTACTATCATGATATGATGGCTAGAACGAAGGTATTCCTGAAGGTATGCAGATGAAAGTAGTCCTTCTAGTTGAAGACTCAGAGTCTTCTGAACACCACTTGAGTCAGAGAACATTATCCAGCTTGGTTACGAAAAAGGTAACAGTGGATCAATAAAGAGTGCTATAATTGAACATATATAGTCAACACTGGTCACTCATTATGTGTAATGACAATTCATTCAAAGTCATCTACAAAGTGAAAAGAAGCCTCCCGTTGAAAACGGTAACCTTCCGTTTCCACTTTGCATTTCCAAGGAGGCCGTAGCACTGATTTATGTACACAGAAGGAACTTCTCCACCCTCTCGTTTTACCTTGGGTGGTATAATTCCAAGTTCTACTGCTTTGTTAATAATTCTGTTTTTGAGTGTTTGTATGGCATATTAGTGACACGCTATTCTCAACCAACCCTATATTTACTCTTTCTACCTATTACATAATTTATTTTGGACACTTGCTTCCATGTCGTTTCATTAACATCCTCCTTTTCTGGGTGTCTTTCATATTATATGTCCAAACCAAGTTCACTTCTAACAGTTTGAAAAAATTTGGGCATTGGGCATATGATATTCATTATAATAGAGGTTTGTTTTTATATTTCACAGTGAATGAATGAAAAACAAAAATATATTGCCGTTTTTACTGATGTTTCGCTATTTAATACTGCTGCTAATAGCTTTATCAAAGTATTATTAAACCAGAATTTACAAAATCCATTCAGCTTGTATATAACAAAGAGTTAAGAGGTGAGGAAATAGACTAGTTAGGTCAAGTTAAAGGGACATATTGAAAGTCAAAATAACAATGAATATCACTAAACCAAATAACAAAGGTTATAGTACGTATGTTATGATATCAAAATAAAGTTTACTAACTTGATCATCGTTCGTTAGTCTGGGTTTATTTTTCGTTGTCAAGTTGGCCAATTGGTAAAGATAACAAAATCAAGTGTGAACTGTTGGATTTGATCAGTGTGTAAAATTATAAAAGTAGTGTGTGTTTACATAGTGAACTTGCTTATCACATTCGTGTTGATTTTGTCATTTAATGGGGGAGGGAGGTGTTGCAACCAGGTCAGATTCTGTTTTAGTCCATCATTCCTATTCAGGCAATTTGGATTCCACTTGATATGAAGTGCTTCTGATATAAGTATGGCCGAAAACGCATTCCGAAAAAATGGACCTCGACAGTCGTCTTTCCATATAGAGCAGAGACGTCAGATGATATCAGAAGAGTACTCAATCAGCTCGACACTACAGTTTTCTTAAAAACATCAGACACACTATGCAGCAACCTTGTCCATATAAAAGACCAGATCCCTAAAAAGATTCCCTATCTAATTGTGTCTATAAAATAAAATGCTTGGAATGTGATGCGATATACACCAGACAAACATCACCGGAGAGAAATCAAAATCAGAAGAAATGAACACCGTAGAGCGTCTGTTCGACCACCAAGAAATCCAATTGAACTGGAAAAACTTGAAAAATCATCAGCCATAGGTTTACATGCTATAGAATCAGGTTACAAAACTGATTTTGACAATATTGAAATAATCCAGAAAACTTCAGAAATCATAAAGAACGTCTAATATCATCAGAAGCACTTAATATCCAATGGAATCCGAATTGTCTGAATAGGAATGATCGACTAAAACAGAATTTGACATGCTTACAACACCTACTCTACTCCCATGAAATGACAAAATCAACACGAATGTGATAAGCCATTTCATTATGTACACACACGTTGCTTTTGTATAATTTTACACACTTATAAAATCCAACAATCTACACCTACCTGGTTTTGTTATATTTACCAACTGGCCAGCTTGAAACGCAAAGATGACCCCATGCTGAGGAAAAACTATTAAGTTGCTTATATATACCTGAGATTTTGTAAATACTGGTTAAATAATACTTTAGTGAAGCTTTTAGCATTATATAGCGAGACGTCAGTACACAAAACAATATCGTTTTGTTTTTCATTCATTGGGAAATACAAAAACCTTTATTATAATGTCTTTCATATTGCTCAACCCTTGTCAATACTTACCAATCTTCACCCCCACCCCACTAGTTACAATTTTGATTATTCACCACATTTCTTGAAACATTTTGATGACGTGAACAATAACCCCTAACTAATTTTTATTTTTGTTTGAAAATCCTGATGTACACAAACACAAAATAATTATAAAGAGATGCGATTGTACAGTTAAGTAGATGAATTCGACGCCGAAAAGAGGCTCTTCGCTGAACTTTTTTGTCCTTATATTCATGTCTGGATGGGTATTTTCCGTGAATTAAAAAACAACAACTAAGTAAGTGAAAGTTTATGAACACTCCTCACTTGTGGAGTGAGTTAAAAGTGACAACGGAATAGAGAACTAGTTGCAGCAGAGATGTGTACCGCGCGCTGAAGACTTATGTTCCTCTCGGAAAGAAAATAATCAATAATCTTACGAAAATATCAATGAAAAGATTAATCTTACCGATCATTTTTAGCCGGCAACGGAGATAATCGTAAACACCAATCAATAATATGATGATCTTTTATGAGACTAATTAATATACTATTGAATTCATCGAAATGAGTAGTATTCGTCATAACAGGGGCAGTAGTAGTTGTTGTAACTTGATGAGAATCACTTGTACAGTTAACATCTTTGGCAGGATCTGTTGAACTGTCTGCAGCAGTGATTGTGACACCATTACCAACAGATGGTGAAGAAGAAGAAGAAGGATGAATCAGGAGTAGTCGATGATGGGGTTTGATTGTCGTCAATTTGATTGGTTTTGTTTGTTGTAGAGGAATTTGGATTAGAGGTATCACTGGCATTTCCATTACCTCCATTAGTGGCTGTTGTTGTCGTCTTTATTGTGCTCGTTATTCCTGAATGCTTGAACAAGGATGTCAGCACATCGACAACACTATGATGTAGAAAGGTATTCGATGGATATTGTTCAAATAACTCCTGTAATGGGGTAGGGAAAAAAAAGACGTCACAATATAATATGATGCAGACATAAAGGTGTAGATACAAACACACACACTCACAAAGCATCAGCGACAAATAATTTCAAACAATGATAGCAACAGTGGCTGGATTTGTTTCTTCCGTACACAAAGTTCCAGACACTGGGTGCTTGAAGTATTAGGTATCTATCTAGACTCTGGGGTGAGGATGTCTATTGGCAATTTTAAAAGGCTGAAATTAGTGTGTGTGTTTACCGATTCAATATCGCACACGTGAAATCGCAATGACGCCACACATATACCGTAGATATGGAAAGTGGCAAGAAACAACAAGGGGAAGATGCCGAGAGAGAGAGAAGACATATATACGACAAATTGTGAAACCATGTAACTAAATTGATAAGATTATGAGCGGCAATAATTTAGGCTCGAAACATTGTCATCCAGTTGTTGATACTGCATCCTCACTGTGTCATATTTAAAATAAGCTTATCTAATATGGAATTATATTCCACTACACTACCCACGTTCTACACTTACATCATATAAAGAAATGCAAAACAGAGACAGTAATCAGAGATATAAGGCGTAACGAATAGTAACATCGAAGAATAATATAGTTTTATTGAATATTATAAGTCACAAGGAGTGGATGCATCTGCACCAACCATTGATAACGATTATGAACTAGCGACATCACCAATTGTCTCCAGGCATTGGTTTTATCGTCACGAGGACCCCAACCAGTCAGGAAGTCCACACCTTCCTACGTGACTGGCTGGCTTAAACAAACTGTTGTGCCTTTCATTGACTGATGCCATGTTTTGGTTTGACCACCACTAGCTCTTTTCCAGCCTGACCCTATGTCAGCTAACATTGCCCGTCGAGGAAGGTGACCGATGGCCAGACTAGACATGCGTAACACATGTCCTAACCATCTCAGTCGAGGAACTTCACAGCCTCGCCGATTGACTTCCTCTCTTTACTTAGCACTCGACGATGGCTGTGAGATCTGGCCATTAAAGAGTGGAAGACATGAAAAAGCCGGATAGCTGTCTTTCATCTTAAGTGTCTGCCTTCTATCTACATCGCGTGTTAGGTGGTATAGTAGTTAGTTTAAGCCAAGGAGGAAGATGCACACTTCTTGGTTGGAGTCCTCGGCACGGTAATAACCAATGAAGACTGGAAACAATTGGTGATATGGCTAGTTCAAAATCGTTGTCAATGTCTGTTGCAGATGCATCCACTACTTGTGACTTATAATAGCCAATAAAACTATATGATTCCTCCATATTACTACTGTTCCTTTTGCCACATATCTCTTTTTACTGTCTCTAATTTGCATTTCTTTTTACTTTCCTCTCTTGCTTTGTATGATACATGGAGGGAATGTGGCGACTCGAACTGCTGCACATCTGTGCAAAGTAGTTCTACGTTGAAACCAGTCAGTCAGTCTCCAAGAGAATGAATAAGTTTGGACCAAAAAAACTGTGTGACAAAGGAAAAATTTTGATTGAAAATAAAAAAGAGAAATGGATTTGAATGGATTAGTAATCATAACTCTTCACAATCTAGGGCGTAACAATCTCATATGTAAATTCCCTGAAAACTAAACCGTAGGCTCCAATCGAAAGCTAAACTGTAACGGATAAAATTATTCATATAGATGAATATCAACCATACTGTAAAATAAGAGGGTGACCACCGAAAGTTATTGTACTAAGTGCTACTTATAATCAGATATAAGTAATAGATGAGTAAACGAATTCAAAAAAGTAATCGAACTACAGAACTGTGAGAAAAAACGCTACAAACACTGTGCAGTATCCAACAAGCTATCGAATATAGTGATATTCGACCAATTTGCAAATGATGTGCATAGAATGCCTGGATTCCACACTACTAGTCACCATCCACCAATTAAATACTAATCACTTGCCCAAACAGTGTCGAAGCATCTCTACAAGAAACCGACATGTCAACCTGAGACCGGGCACTTCGGTCCAATCAATCGACAGGGAAATCAAAGATTCAATTAAATAATTAATATGACCTGTTGCACAAAAAGGTGGCCAGCTCTCTTGTGGCACAAGTGATCTAGTGTATAATGCTTTGGCGTTTGAAACTATGGGCAATGGGTTTGAATCTCGGCGGGAATATCATCACCCACTGCGGAATGCAGGTACATCCAATAGTGACGAGTCCCAAATAGGACTAAATGCGCACCCTGGATTCCACTGCTGGTCGCCATCCACCAATTAACTTCTAATTGGAGATATGGTATAGCCAAATTCATGTACCTAAAATGAGTTTATCCTAATAAACATTGCCTTCGAGACACATCGGTATCGAACCAATGTCAGCTCATGATGAAATCCTCTAACCAATCAATCAAATCCCCACAAAACAATACCTGAATATCAATGAGATGCTCACTGGTAAATGGCCCTATTCAGGTAGGTTGTTACCTGGGTTCTAGTAGGAAGTCGTTACCAGTAGGGTACAGCAGGTCAAGTGTGAGGACAAACACTCGTCAGCGATGAAATCGGCTAGTGATCGCGCTGTGTCATTAATTGGCAGAAGTTGGAATTCATGGACTGGCTGGGTATTGGATCGGGTTCCAGTGGCCTAATGGTCTACGAGTTCGCTAGCCTTTTAACCAGAAAGTCCTGAGTTTGAACTGAGGCGGTGGTTGCGTACTGATGAAGAGTCCCAAACTAGGATGAAAGAGCCGTCCAGTACTCCCTCCTAGCTAGTTTTCTAATGGTTCTCTAACCAATGTCAGCTCATGATGAAATCCTGTACCTATTCTTCCTTACATTATTCTAAATATACATTAAGAAGAATGATGTCTTGAGTGATATGGTTAACGCAGGCATCTAACAAGCACTTTTTATTCCACATTCAGGTTTGTTACAGGAAGAGAGGAATGAATGCAATTTACATCGTGAATTGACTAACATCAATTAAAGAGAACCACTGAAAAGCCTCAGAGAAATACCTATACAGAACAGATGCTTTTTTGTCTGTCTTAACTTGAAACTCTCTTCAGCACTGACCCCCTCACTGATAAAGAACCCAATACATTCAGCTTACACGCTGCAAGTCTCTTAACCATCGACCAGCCAATTGCATGCCGAATCTAACTTATATTAATTTCTGACCTAATTTCAAATCCCCTAAAGTTCAAACTTCCTTCAGCTACAGGGAGACAACACGGATGAAGACGTCAAAGCCAGCCAGCCAGAATTGGAAAGGTAAGATACACCTTTATCAATCTGAAACCAGTTTGGAAATCCTCTGCACTCAGCTAGCATAAAGAAAAGGATCCGGATTTTCACCACTAATATTAAGTCCGTCACTGCTTCTATACGAGGGTCAGAAAATTGCACTGCATGTCACGAACAGGATTTCCAACAGGTCACAAGAGACTTTCATCAACAACTGCAACCTTCCTTGGTTCTAGATCACATGGACAGCTGGCTGGCCAGAAACAATCAGCAACAAGAAACTCTGGCTGAGAACAAACCAACCAAAAGCCGACTGCTCAATAAATACGTAGGAGAAAATGGAGATGAATAGATCGGGCACACGCTGAGGAGGCCATCAAATGACATCGTGCTCAATGAAGGCCATCGCTCAAGTGGAATGTCCAATGGAAAACAACGAGTGGGTCGTCAGTGCGAGGATGGCATGGAGGAGACCGTTTGAGGAGGAGATGAGAGATTATGGACAGCCGTGGACCCAGATGAAGAGGACGGCAGAAAATGGAATGAAGTGGAGATGTGTTGTTGAAGTCCTATGTTCCACTCGGAACCCAAGGGAATAATAAAATAATAAAAATATAAACGTCCAAATTTGTTGAACAGTACTCTTTCATCCAAAAATACACTAAATGTTCAGTGGGAAATACCCGCCAACTGCCCACGTACGTGGTCCAGGTTCGATTCCCGACCCACATACTCGCACCTAAACCACACCCTGTTAACTTGTAGATAGTAAACCCAGAAAAGAAGAAGGGGTTGTGCGTGAGCCTAGTAACTCTACACCACAAAACCAACACCGCGGGTATGAAAATACGTGTATATATAGAACTCACCATTAATGTTTTGACAAAACCATTAGCAACAATCGCTTTAATTAATTGTATATTCATCGGTAAAGAGGTGAGTGCAGCGATCAACTGGACAACAGCCAACCGACAACGACCAAGTGGTGGATTCAAGATGCCATTTGTTGTTGACATAGAATTATAGAATTGCTAAAATAAAGAAAGAAAGAGTGAAACAGGTAATTACAAGACCTGAACTGATCAGATGTGACTCATCGCCTTAAGAACTCACCTTTCACAGTTAATAATGGGAGTCATAGGTTCGAGTACCTCTCGACCGATTTCAGCGCGGAGGCGGTACAACTGGGTAGTTCTCTCTAGCTCTCATACACACACACAATAAGTATGACTTTCGCCTACTTACGATATGATAACCGGCTATCGATCAAAGGAAGTGTGTACTGAGCTTCTCTTAGTCATATCTATAGACAGATGGCTAGAACAAGTTTACCACATGCCAAGTCACTGCCTACCCTCACAAGCTATGTTAGTTGACATTGGTATTAGATTAGGGAACATCTAGGAGTGGCCAAATTAAACACCTTTCATGGTCAATGTCCTCTAAAATGTTAAAAACCAATAACTGGAGATTGTTTAATGACTTGATGATAAATCGGCTTCAGTGACATTATTAAACAAGCAAACACATCCACGACTTCACCGAAGAAAAAGACTAACATCAACACGAAATAGGTTACATGAGATGAAGACCTAGGAATTCTTAACTTTTGTCAATTCACGCGCAACGAATGTCATCATATTTGACTCTTCTCAACCTTAAATTCATGAATTCTGTATATATCCGGTGGGATTGTCATATAAGACCTTTTTTGATTTTTTAAATTTTTGATTATAGCTTGATTCCACACTGTATTTTTGGTACAAGTATAGAATTTTCAGCATGTGATATCGGTAGCCCAATTTGGCAGGCCGACAATTGATATCGGGTGTGCGTCGGCAGGGGATCGAACCCCGGACCATATGCATGGTCGGCGAGAGTCCTAACCACTGTGCCACCGACGCACAGTTAAAAAAACTTGGCACCAAGAGATGCGCCAAAAAAATTGTTGCTTCATAGTTTGTGCGAGGGCTGAGATACTTCCCGGACACCCAGACCAAAGCAAGCGGTTATCACCTCCACACTCTCCAGAGCCTCTGACTTCAAGGCAAAGCTGCAGTGGAACAGCGTCAGGAGGGTTTCTGGTGACCGAACCAGGTGTATATACGTCATTTGATCCTCCACTCGGATTCTGGAGCTTATGTACATATGCACCATAGGTTTGGAATCAGGGTTTTTCAGCTGCAGTTCCCCCAGGTAGACCAGCATGTCCACTAGTCCGGTTGTAAGTGCCAGACGTTCGGATTTGGCACTTTCACTTTTGTAGGGAACACCCCTGCCGCAGGAAGGCGGTGAATAGGGCTTACGTGACATAGGGTATGAGAACACGTAGCTATCTGACAGCATTTCGATAGAGAGAGGAAGACCAAAATCTACCGAGCAATGGCTTTATGCGAGTGGATAAGAACTACTGAAGAGTTTAAAACACAGGTCAAAAGAACTGTCCAAATACATAACATCAAGTATTCCTAGTTGATCGATTGATATGAGAAGTTGAATACCACTCATATCAATAATCACTGGTGCTTGCCAGGCAGTCACTAAATGAAAGGAATCTAAAAATCAGAATTCAGGTGGTTTGAACTGGACTCGTCTCCGTCTCAACGCTGAGTCAAACCAAGTATATTGCCAGTGATATCAAAACCCCACCCCCCACCCCGCCGCCAAACGATCGAAACAGCCGTCCCGGACACACACTGTGTGTATTATGAATTTATTTTGATTTCCACAGAAAATCTGTTGTGTATAATTTCATGAGAAACATTTGCTTGTCTCAAAATTTTCCATAAAATAACATATTTTTGCATAAAACTATATACTACTGAATAATTAAGATGAGTAGTTGTACACCACTCACCACCTATCCACCATCCAGTTGTAATTTCTGGTCATCAGCCAGATCGAAGTAAGTGATCTAACACCCCCCCCAGGCGGTTGTTTCACTCGTTTAGGGACGAGCTCATCAAAGGCAATCTACCCAATTCGAGTCAGCTCATGTAGCTGAATCAGTTCAAACTACTCAATTTCTGGCTGACTATTTGGGCGAACTGGTCATATCACATTAAATCAAATTCAAAATTTCCGATGTTGAATACACTTCAAAGGGGGTGGATGGGGTCTCCTCTAGAAACACACCAGACACACTGCTGACGAGCTCCCCCCCTGCCCCAAACGAGCGAAACAACCGTTGGGTGTTTAGATCACTTCCCTCGATCTGGCTACTTGGCTAGCACCATCCTTTCTAATTGTTTACAACATTTCGGAAGGGAGGAGGAGGAGGCGGAAGGGAAAAGCGGAACAACTTACCGGATGAAATGTTTTCAGTAATTTATGCAATTCACTCAAGCGAGATAAACATGCTTTGGATAAATTTTCACAAGCCTTTAATATATGCTGTTTATCTATGGGTTGTTGTTGTTGTTGCTGTTGTCGGTTATTGATTGATGAAGTATCACAGTCATTGGATGATTTATTGCCAACATCATCATCACCATTTGTCATCATTACCGCGGAATCATTTGGAGTGTTTGTTGTTGTTTTCTTGTTGGTGCAGCTTATATCATTATTAATAGGGCCTGGTATACCAAAACCAATTGATCCGATTTCAGCATTCTCACCACCGGCACCACCGCCACCTTCAACAGGAAAACCAGACTCACTAAAAAAAAAGAAAACACAAGAGGAGAGGAAAATGTTTCTTTCAGAAAAACCGGATGAAAAACAAAGAAATAGAATAGGACAATTTTTCAAGTGTTGATTTGCCAAAATATTGATTTGATTGGTTACAATAGGATTTTATCATGAGCTGACACATATGGGAAACTGTCTCGTCCTAGTTTGAGACTCCACCGGGGTTCGAACCCAGGAGCTTCTAGTTACAAGGCAAGCTAGTTTGTAGACCATTAAGTCACTGGGACTCGATCCAATACCCAGTCAGCCTGTGAATTCCCCCCTCTGCCAATTCACGATATAGTATGACCACTAGCCAATGTCATCACTGGTAAGTATTTGTCCTCACACTCGACATGCTGTACCCTACTGGTAACGACTTTCCACTAGAACCCCAGGTAACTACCTACTTGAATAGGGCCAGTCGCTAGTGAGCATCTCACTGATATTCAAGTGTTGGTTTGTGGGGATTTGATTGATTGACTGCAGGATTTCATCTTGAGGTGACATCGATTAGACAACCATTGGACTATTCTTCATCAGTACGCAGCCACCACCACCAAGGTTAGAGCCCAGGACCTTCCGGTTACAAGGCAGGCGACCTAATAGACCATTAAGCCACCAGGACCCGATCTAATGGTCCATGAAAAACTAAAACAGTTTTCGATAACTTTATCATCAGGCTCTACAGTTATATATCCATCCATCATAATGAATGAATGAATTAGTGTTATGAACAACATTAATGTTGTTTAAATAACATCGAATCAATAATAATATTAATAGATTACAGTTCAATAGCATTAACATAACAATAAGTGCTGAATATCAGAAAAATAAGGAAAGATAATAATACAAATTCATGAATTTATAGTCTCCACTGAAGGCCGGAACAGGAGTAGTGGCTGGACTTGCTTCTTTTGCACACAAAGCACTGGTTGTTTCACGCGAATTGCGATAGCCTCCGCTGTTTGGAGCATGTGGTACTTCGATGCTTTTGGCAATTTATTAGGCACTCGGTAGATGATAGAGAATGATTCTTCAACGCTGGTTTTCTGCCCGGTTTGCACCAGGTGGTGCAATATCGAACTGTTGATGGTTTTCACTACACCTTTTACTTAACCATACTAAGAGATGCTCTCGAGAGAGCACGAAAAATCAACGGCCTATATAACCCGCTATACAATAAGCGTAGTTGAATTGGTAGATACAATTTGAAGTGGCTAGTCTAGGTACTTCATCTTTCAGTCGAGGAATCACCATTTAGACTAGCCACAGTTTGATATTGCACCGCCTGGTGCAAACCGGCCGGATACAAAGCCAGCGTTGAAGAATCCTTCTCTATCATCTACCGGGTGCCTAATAAATTGCCAAAAGCATTGAGGGATTGCATACCTCGAACAGCAGACGCTATAATGACATTAATGTTGTTCATAACACTAATTCATTCATTCACTATAATGTATATATAACTGTAGAGCCTGATGATGAAGGGGTTATCGAAAACAATATTCTTCGTTCATTAACCATACTTTTGAAAAAATTTTAATGGGCATTTTTAATCAGTTAAAACAGCTGTTTTTTTCAAAACAGTAATTGGTTGAGTAGATGGTTGATAAGCAAACGAAAGACAGCGTGGATGTCGGCCTAACTAACAACAGGTGTCCTAGCTCCATCTTAATCTATACAAACTTTACAGCACCTCATCGCGACGATTGTCTTTTCTTCGTTTCTTACCATAGCACACTCTACACCTGACCCAATATTCCTCACCTATATATATATATATATATATATATATATATATATATCAAAGACAGACATTCAATTATGATTATTGTTCCCTTGGGTTCCCAGTGGAACATAGGGCTTCAACTACACGTCTCCACTTGCTTCCATCTTCTGCTGTACTTTTCACTTGCAGCCATGTAAGTCCATACTGTTTCAACTCTTCTTCACACGATCTCCTCCATGTCACCCTTGGACGTACCACTCGCCGCTTCCCTTTCGGGTTCCACTCGAGCATTGGCCTGACGCGCGATGTCACCCAGCGGCTTCCTCAGCGAGTGTCCAATCCATCTCCACTTTCTCCTGCATATTTGTTGAGCGATTGGTTCTTGTTTTCTTTGTTCCCATAGTTTCTTCTTGTTGGTGATTCTTTCCGGCCATCTGTTCTTCAGTATAGAGCGAAGACAGTTGTTGGTAAAGGTCTGCAACAGGCAGTTGGAAATATTCTTTGTGACCCGCCACGTTTCTTATCCGTATAGAAGAACTGACTTGACGTTTGTATTGAAGACCCGAATTTTGCTGTTGATGCTGACATTCAATGCTCTGATGAAATTAGTGTGGACGACACCTAGAACACCAACACAAGATCTGACTTTTCAGTTTTCAAGGTCAAGGGAGTGAAGACTTAGCGCATCATGAAAAAGCGTTTCCAACAGTCTGTTACTTGATGATATTGAAGATAAGATGGATGACCAGAAAGAATAGATATGAGGAAAAGAATCTTGGCAATGAAATAACCGACAAATTTGCAAAAGTAAGCAAAGATGGATCCAGATAGCCTCAGAGAAGTCCACTGAGCGACGTCACGTGCCAGGAGTGGAAGCACACACAGGCTTATGGGTAATCGTGAGGCCAGAAAAAAAGGACTGCAAAGAGCTGAGTGAAATGATGATGAACTTCGGAACCTAAGGGACGAATATTAAAAATAACAATACCATACACATACACAAAAGCTATTAGACTACAAAAAAAGAATGAAACTTACGGTTTTCTCTTATCCATAACAGCCATAAATACATTCACACAATTTACGACTATCGATGACGTCACTATCTGTTGTTCATTGGATAATATACGATTCAACAGCATTGACATTGTTTCTTCACTGAACATCAGGGGGGGAAATGATGCAAAGAAGAAGAAAAAACATAATTCGTTTTTGAAACGATCTAACAATTTTTAAGATTATTGAAAACTGTAAAAAAAAAGCTTTTCGTACTATGGTCTGACTCAATTCTTTTGATATCCTTTCTTTACCCCTTTTAAATTACAAAATATCACAAACAAAAAAACAAAAAAAAATTAACAAAATCATTAGAAAACCAAAGAAGAAAATTCACCTAAAATAACGGCGTAAGTGGTGTGTTTGTGACATTACAGTGCTCTTAAAGTATGGGAATGATGTCAAGTATGATGTGACACCACGTCAGTCGGGCGACCTGCTTGGGTATGTATGTAAGGCCCCGCGTATGCTTGCAGAGCAGTGTAATATGTTTGCCTGAGTGGAACGTTGGTGTGGTAAGTCTGTTACTCTGCGGGGTCGCCCCGTGGAACCATACGATCTGACCTCTTGTCCATATTCTGTCTGTCCCTTGGCTGTATGCGGGGTCCCGGACAGGCAGAGTAGATGTAGTGACAAAGGTTAGAGGCCGTAGTATGTATGTGGATGGAATGACGGCCAGTGTGGGTCATATTACCTTGGTTACCCTAACTGGACAGTCGTAAGGGCATACGCTGTCCGCCAAGGTATATGATGAAGCGAGGTAGTGTCAATTGTGGATTGGAGGTGGGACCTCGTTTCCACGAGACATGTTAGGATGTCTCCGATGCGCAAGAGTGCTAATAAGATGTTCCTGATTTCATAGCCTCGGGGAGATATCAAGGGATATGATCTGCTTCGGTTATTAAAATAAAGAAAAAAATCGGGACAGAGAGTGGAGGAGGTGCTGTTTACAGTGACTGACTCTGCTTGCATTGAAATATGCTCTATCCCTCTCCCGGCCCTAATACTGGCAACAGTTTAGAGCTTGATATGAAACGACACGGGTAGAAACATAACAATTAGGAGAAAATGATACAAAGAAGAAAAAAGACATAGCAGTGCACTAAATTCGTTTGTGAAACGATCTAACAATTTTTGATATTATTGAAAATTGTAATAAAAAGAAGCTTTTAGTACTATGGTCACATTCATTAGACATATGTAGAGGGGTGGGGGGACGGTGCTTCGGTAGGCTAACGGTATACAGAATTTTCACCAACCACGCCGTATATGTTTCGGGGATCCGATCCCAGACCAATGCATTCTTAAACCTCGTTTAGCTGATAGTAAGCTGAGTAAAGAGGAAAGGTTGGCCATGAGGCTAGCAACCCCACCCCCCTAAAGGAAGACACTACCGCCACTGAAACATCAAAGCTCAAGTGTTTGAAGTCCTATGTCCCACTCTGAACGCAAAGGATGGACGTGAGTTTCACTGGCTTAAAAAACACTCAACCTCGAGACAATGGGTCCCTGCATTGGACTTCATTCCACCTAATCCAGCTTAGAGTCTCAACTATCGACGACCTCCATCTCTACAAGAGATACATCGATGACACTTTCATTATTTGTGATGGGAATTGTGATCCAAAAAAAAACCTACTTCAAATCTTCAATAACGCCCAGCCAAACATAGACTTCACTCTGAAAGTTGAGTCTAACTCAGTGTTTCATTTCCCAGGCGTTCAACTAACTATGAAGGAATACAGACAACTCGCTAAGAAGATCCATCTACAGAAAGCCCACATGGATCGGACGGTTTTTTTAGCTTTCAAAGCTGTGTGTCTCTAGGCAGAAAGAGAAACCTAATATACTCTCTTTCCTCGAGGATCCGGAAGATTTCCACTGAAGAGTCAATCGACGAAGAGTTAAAAATTCTCCAAGGGACCTTGATAGAAAATGGATTTCCACCCAAATTCCTAGACAAGAATTTTTAGAATCAAGGAAAACACCTGAAAAGGTCCAAGTCACCCCCAAAAAGATGCTGATATTGAACCTCGAATTTAAAAGTGATACCGAGGCAGAAATTCTGCGTAGACTACTTTCGAAGTCTCTCAGTAAAACATACTTCCCCGCCAGTCTTCGAATAACATTCTCCTGCAAGAAACTACTCACCCAATACGTGAAAGACAAGCTGTCGTATTGGGTCACTTCACAACATGCATATACAAGTTCACTTGCTCGTTTGGAGCCTAGTACATTGGCCGTACCATGAGTCCTCCTATAAAAAACACGCTCGGGAACACTATCCAGCATGGTTAGCAAAGGGAGAATGCAAGAGTGTACACGCTGTGCGTCGGTGGCACAGAGGTTAGGGCTCTCGCCGATCATGCACATGGTCCAGGGTTCGATCCCCTCTATATTCCATTCAGAACCGAAGGGCATAGCTAATAGTGACAGATTAGTTACAGGATTTCATCATGAGCTGATATCGGCTAGAGAACCATTGGAGAACCAGCTGCCAAGGAGTACTGGACAGCTGTTCATATCGTCCACCTAGTTTGGGACTCTTCATCTGTACGCACTCCCCAGGACCTTCTGGTTACAAGGCGTCAACCCTGCCTAATCATGCCTGGCATTTTATAATGTTGAACTGTTCAACAAACTAGCCAATCACAACGAAGTATTGATTTATTGAACATTTAATAAAGTTTGACAGAACAAAAACATACGGAAGAACAACGTCAGAGACAAAGGTTAGAGAAAAACAATTAAGGAAAGAAATTGTATTCACATTAAGAATAAATAAAACTAGACAGTTTTAAACAACTTTTCAAATGACAGCATAATCAATAATAAAAATAATCATCATAATAATAGTAATAGTAACAGTAAATTTAAAAATATAATTCCGCTACATATGAAGTAGCCATTGCTATTTATAGTATCAGGAGTAGTAGCAGTAGCCATAGGAGTAGTAGTAGTGACTTTGGATCACATGACCTATTAAAAAACGGAACGGTCGATACTTATCATCATATGACGTAAATCACACCTGTAGTGTGTGTGCGTGTGTGTTTGTACATCAAACTAATGTACATGTCTGGGCTTAATCAATTAATGAATTAATTGATTTTGTGTGTTATTCGTCCGTTCATTTGGTTGTATGTATAAATAATAAACACGTATTGAAATAAAAGTGTCTGAATTTCATTTTGTTTAAAAAAACAGTTTAAAATTTGAAATTTAAATATTTAAATTCAAAGTAAAGAAACAAAAAGTGAAAGAAGACGGGGAAGAGAGGGGGAGAGAGAGAAGGAAAGACTAGCAGCTTAAAAAGAAACAAAAAGGCTTTTGGTGACATTTAAAAAAGTGGGTAAAAGAAAAGCCGAAAAGGTGGCACAAAGATGGAGAATCGGCAGAGAGAGAAAAAAAAGAACGAGAAAAACTTTATAGGAAATCAATATTATTTGTATATCTTTAAAGTTTAAAAACACATCAAGACATTTATAAATGTCTATCGACACTTAGTTTACTTTTTTATTGTCCATTGAAGTTGCTGTAGCGAATGGGTTGATTTTCAAATCGAGAATCGGGAAGGCGAGAAACACATTCATCAACCTGAAACCAATCTGGAAATCTTCGTCACTCAGCCTGATCAACAACAAAATTCCGATTTTCAATACAAACGTCAAGTCAGTTCTTCTATACGGATCAGAAACTTGGCGGCGGGTCACAAAGAATATTTCCAACAGTCTGTTGAAGACCTTTATCAACAGCTGTCTTCGTCCTATACTCAAGATCAGATGGCCGGAAAGAATCACCAACAAGAAACTATGGGAACAAACAAAACAAGAACCACTCGCCCAACAAATATGCAGGACAGAGTGGAGATGGATTGGACACTCGCTGAGGAGGAGGCCACTGGGTGACATCGCGCGTCAGGCTCGAGTGGAACCCGAAAGGGAAGCGGTGAGTGGGACGTCGGTGCAAGGGTGACATGGAGGAGATCGTGTGAAGAGGAGCTGAAACAGTATGGACTAACATGGATGCAGGTGAAAAGTACAGCAGAAGACAGAAGCAAGTGGAGACGTGTAGTTGAAGCCCTATGTTCCACTAGGAACCCAAGGGAACAATAATAATAGTAATGGGTTGATTTTCTTGGTTAGGATTGCCAAGCGTATACACACAAACTTCCCCATCTCTATAAGGGCTAAGTACCAACCCAGTAACCTTGTACACTTGGCGAGGTCGTAACACCGATGACATTCTCGACTATGATGGACTGGATCACGTGGTGGGTCATGGGAAACGGGAGGACAAGGATACGTTGGACTGGCAAAACAACTCTAAAAGATTTGAACTTCGCGGACAGTTTATATCTAGTGTCACACAAACTCGAAGACTCACAGGCGAAATGTAACAAACTGGCCGGCAGAAGAAGTAGCGAAAACAGGACGGAGGTGATGAAGATAACCAACCAGCCAACAGCACCAATCACCATCAGCGAGAGAGATTTGACAGAGGTCACTCCCCTCACCTAACTAGGAAGCATAGTTTCGACTACAGCTGGAGCCGGTGAAGGTATCGAAACCAGTCATAATCGGAAAGGGAAGACAGATGTTCATCACTCTAAAGTCAATGTGGAAATCTTTTGCATTCTGCATAAAGAACAAAAGATTTTCAACACAAATGTTGAGTCAGTCAGTTCTTCTACTATATGGATGAAAAACTTAGCGCTAGAGTGTCGCGGAAAGCACTCCCAACAGACTGCTGTAGACTTTTATCAACAGCTGCCATCTCTTCAACGACTTCATACTGAAAATCAGATGGCCAGTCAGAAAAGCTTGACAACAAGGAACTCCAGCAACAAACTAAGGAAGAACCTATTGCCCAACAAAAGAATGTCACACAGAAAAAGGCCGCTGAAAATATCACCCGCCAGGCGCAAGAGTGGAACCCGAATGGAAAACGACGAGTTGGGGCATTGGTCCATACCACAGGCAATCTCACACATCCACCAACTTTGAAATTGACTCCAAAGAAATTCTAGGGAGTTCGAAAAGCTAAGAAGAAACAGTTTTTTCATAATTCACGTCAGAGTGTCTTAAAATCAATCAATCAAT